GGGGGAGGGGTTCCCAACCAACCATTTTTTGTAGAATGCTCTGGCCTTCTCTGGCGTGCACTTCTGGATGACTCGCATGTCGCCGATTGGCCACCTGCACACGGGACACAGACAGGCGCACGTCTCCATTCCATTGTGCTGTAAAGGCGTGTGCATGTGATAGACACGGGCACCTACCTTTCCTTGAGCATGTTGCCGTCCTCGCCGTGCATCTGGTCGAACAGCCGCTTCTCGACGCGATACGCAACTGTGTTGCGCATCTGCACACACACAGAAGACACATGTGTGTGTGTCCAGCTCTCTCTCTTTCTCTCTGTGTGTGTTGCCGACCTGTTCTTCGCTCATGACGTTTTTCTTTTCCGTGTCGAAGTCCTTGCCGCCCTCGAGTGTGGCCTCGAAGCACAGCTCCCGCAGAAGCACCAGACACCTGTACGTGTTGCTGCCGCTCTCATCCGCCGCCGCAGCAGGGTGGTCTGTGGGCGCCTCCGTGGTCTCCCCTACACACACACAACCAGCCAACCACACACACACACACATCTGCCGATGATTGACAAATCTGGGTGCGGTGTGTGTGTGTGTGTGTTTACGTGAGGTGGGTGAGTTGGACGGCGAGGAGGCGCTAGGGGCCTCTGTTGGCGAGTGGAGGGTGTAGACTGTCTGGTTGAAGTCGGTGTAGGCGTTGAGGTCGCCGCCATACGCCATCCCTATCCATCAACCAACGCACAGAGAGAGAGAGAGAGAGAGAGAGATGCTGCCTGCCTGTGTGTCTGTTGTCTGTTACCGGCCTACCTAGCTCAGCGAGTTCCTTCTTGCTGGCCTCCACAGAGGGGAACCGAGCAGTGCCCAAAAACACCAAGTGCTGCACTCCATGACACCACACACACACACACACACATGCATCCCGCCTCTCGATCTCTGCCTGTCCATCTGCCACCTCACCTCTAGGAAGTGCGCCAGGCCTTGTTCGTCTCTGTCCTCGTGTAGGCTGCCGCTGTTGACGGCCATGTAACACACCACCTTGCGAGGCGGGAACGAATGCGGCAGGACGCGATACTCCATACCTGACAACCAACACAACATGCCCTCATCAACCAAACACACAGAGGCACCAACCACACACACGCGTGTGTGGCTGCCTGTGGTGTGGTCTCTCTCTCCCTACAGTGCGGTGCGCACCGTTTGCGAGTCGGCCCATTTTGAGTTTGGGGTTGAATTTGAGATGCGGCTCCACAGCGATGGACCGCACCTGCTGCTCAAACGCACTATCGCTGCTGCTGCCGGTGCCAGTGGGAGAGGAGGCAACTGCATCTGCATCTGTGTGCGGACCTGCGGGTGTTGTTGCGGGTGCAGCACGCTGCTGCTGCAGCTGCTGCTGATCTTGCTCGGGCATGCTGTCCGGGAGGTGTGTGGGCGGAAAAGGCCTGAGATCTCTTAAGCTCGCCACAGAGGAGCTCGCACTTGAAGCAGAAAGAGAGAGCCCCACAGGTGAGGGCAAAGAGGCGCCCATGCCATCTGTATCTTCTGCTCGAGCGCATGCATTCATTTCGTTGGACGTATTCTATGTGGTGCAGACGAAAAGATGCTGCAGCCCAATGGCATGCCCTCCCCAGCTATGCTGCCCGCCAAGACCAGGCTCTCGTCGCTGGAGAGCTGGCTGTCGGGTCAACGAGGCGCGCTGAAGCTGACAGAGAAGGCGATGAGCCTTATCGGCGACGCGGAGGAGGACAATGGCGGCCAGCGCGAGCACGCCGTCTTCACGGATGCGGCGAGAAAGCTGCAGCTATTGGGGCTGCACACCCAGCTGCGGAACAAACAGGTAAGTAAGGATATATGCTGCGGAAGGACAATGAATGAATCAAGATCCAAGTGTAGTGGTCCATTGTCTGTGTGTTTGTGTGTGTGTGTCTGTCTGTGCAGACGACTCCTGAGGGTGCCATTGCAGCGCTCCAGCCCATCATATCTCCGTACGTAGGCATGCTATGCTGCCATCCGACCGACACACGGGTGCTTTGCATGGCATGCTGTGCGTGTCCCATGCCATTCCATGAGCAGATCTCTTCTCGAGGAGGCCCGCATGGCCACCATGCGGGACGAGCTGACCCGCCGTCTGTTCAGCCTCTCCCCCGACGACGCCACATGGAAGGACAAGTTCCACTTCCTCCTGTCCCTCCCGCCCTCATCGCCCGTGCCGTCCTTCTCGCCCATGCAGATCCTCGACACATTCGCCGGCCACTACGACAAGGACGTCATGCCGCCGATGCCGACGAGGCGGCTCGCCACCAGGGCCGTGGACCTGAACGGACAGCAGCCTCATGCCAATGCAGCTGGGACGGCGGGAAAGAGGCAGCGGGTGGGCGATGGCGACGATGGCGATGGTGACAGCGATGGGCCGAGGCGTTCACGGGGTCGGCTGGTGACGTCGGTGTATGCGGAGCCCATGCTGTGTGACGATGTGGTGAGGTGGGGTGCCGGACCGGACCGCAAAAGACGTCTTGTCTGGCTGTGCATTTGTGTGCTGGATGGACGGGTGCTGCAGAACGTGGCTGAGCGGCTCCAGGCCGTCGCGCATGAGATCTGCAGTAGCGAGCAGGAAGAGGTAGGCACCTACACATTCGATTCGATGGGCCAGGCCTGTGGTGTGGCTGTTTGGTTCATTCATTCATGCGCTTGTGCATTAATTACATGACGTCCGCAGCCCATCGCGACGAGTGCCGGGTCGCCCTACGGCCGTCTGCGGGATTGGCTCAACTGCTTCACCCTCAATCCCATCTCTGCCATGACCCTGCTCTACAAGTACTAATCCCCAGACCAACGATATGGCGGCATTTATTGCCATTTGTTTGAAATGCTTTTCTTTCTTTTCACGCCGTATGTTGATTCAGGTCGTCCCGTGACAGCTTCGAGTATCCGGCCTTCCTCGACAGGAGCCATGACGCATCCGGCTCCCGTCGGCTGCTCCTCGTCCGTGACGGCGACACGCACCTCCTCGCGACCACCTTTGGTAACGGGGGAGATGCCGAGGACGACCTGGAACCTGAGGACAGCACCGCGCACGAGACCACCGACTGCCCGGTTGCCTTCTACACCATCAGTGGTGTGTGCGACACGCCCAGCAAGATCATGGCATCAGCAAAGGGAGTGGTGGCGGTGGCGGGGCGGGACGGGGTGGTGCCGGCCGACGGGCAGCCATTCGGCAACGTGTACATCGGTCGCCATGATGCGGCGCTGCTGTGGCTGGGCGGCGCCGACAATGGGCCTGCTGCCGACCTCAGCAGCTGCCTCATGGTGATCGAGACGCCATACCTTCCCAGGAGCGCCTCCCTGGAGTCGAGGCACATCTACAACAGCGGCCGCCGGGTATCATGGAAGGGCTCTTTGGCGAGCAGCCCAGCATTCACGGCAAAGGAAATCGAGCTGTGGGCACTGCACGACTGACGATTGCCTTGGATGGACCCTCAGACAGACAGACGACGAAGACACACACACAGGTGGCGAAGAGACAGAGTGTGGTCGGTTGGTTGGTTGGAATTTTCTCATGTTTGGATGATGTCGGTGTGGCTTTTGGTGTGGTGTCTGTCTGTCTGTCTGTCTGTCAGGTCTGTGGACAGCGGTCGGTAGCATAGATGGTAGCTCCGATTGCAGTTGTCGGCAGTGCAGTGCACACGCGTCACTGCCTGCGAGACGGCTGGACGAGGATCGCTACTTAGTGTGCGTAGCAGCGACACAGCTGACTGAGTGCTGCAGGCAATGCATGGGCAGACGTGGGCAACACGGACGTGGTCGATTGCGTGATCGTTTTCTGGTTCATATCACACATGAGGCTTTGATTGTGGCTGGCAGAATGTCCAAATCAGTCCAAATCCTCACATGCTGGAAGCCAGCCACTCTCTCCCTCCCTGCCGCGCCGCCCCGGTCTTTTCTCTCTCACCCAGTGAACACACCGGCATCACAAAAGGAGAGAATGGCCTCTGTCTTCCCGCAACCGCACACAGACACATGCACTGCACGACACTGTACAGCAGCCGTCACTCCCTATGTGCCTGTCTCTCGTTCTTTTTTGTGTCGCAGCTGCCTGCCTTCATGTGTTGCTCTGTCGCCTGCCTGCCTCTCGCCGCAGCACCGATGGAACCGTCAGTGCTGCGGACAGTGGCAAGATGACACATGAGGAACGCATGACGACACCACTGTATGACCCGATTAGGTTGCGATATCATTGTACAGTACACGGCAAGGGACAGACATGAAAAGCTGGACGGCAAGCTAATGGCCAGCTGGCTGGGTGCTGTTGCTGTGCTGCCATTGGATGGAAAAATACACATACACAGTGCCTCCCTCCATCTCGCCCACAGACAGGCACGGCACGTGTGGGTGGGCTTCTCTCTCCCACCCCAGCCAGCGATAATACAGAAAGGCACATACGAGGGGCTATCACTACCTGTACCTGCCTACGAATGGTACACAGGGCGCTACATGTCGTACCAGATCTGCCCGTCCACATCGTCCAGGTCCAGCGATAGCAGCAGGGCCGGCACAGTCTTGCCGCGCACATCCGTCCGCTCTACCCACAACGCCGTGATACCTACACACCCACGCATGAAGACACAAACACCGTTATCCGTGTGTGCATCCGTTTTCCATATGAATGGGCTCTCTCTCTCTCTCCTCTCTCTCTTTCTGACCCCTGAAGTCGTTGTCACTGGCGATTTGCCGAATGACCGCCCCCCTCCCGGGAGCCGTGCAGAAGAGCGACAGGATCCAGTTGGTCGACACATCGGGCGCGTACCTCTGCGTGCTTCTGTTCCATCCCTCACTCGGCCGATTACTCTCGTAGCACGACAGCGAGAGGATTGCCTCGTCCACCTTGGCCTTCGATGGGGCGAGATTCAGACCGACAAGCAGCTTCAGACACGCCTCGCTAAAGGCGAAGTTGAACAATGCTGGCTTAAGGTGGTACGCGACAAACTTGGTGGCCTTCTCCTGGTTGCCGTGGAGCGCGTTAAACTCCCAACACGACGCGATGGTGAGGAACTTGAGAGAGCAGATGCAGACGGGCGCGGTTGCTGCCTGTGCGTGGGGGTGCGCCAGCTGGGCGGCTGATGGGACCTGAGGCGTGTTGGCCTCGATGGGTATCTGCAGGCACACGTCGGGATGCCCTGTGTGTCACTCTTGCAGTAGGGTGTCATGTCAGCTACCTGTAGATAGTCGAGAAGGCGAGAGAAGAGCTTGGCGGTCATGTTGGGCGGCACGTCGATGGCATACCCCTCAAACGTGCCTTGCTGCTCCCAGTGCCTGACACACACAACACACACATGCACACGTATGCACCGCACCGTCCGCTTTATCGAGCCAAGCGCACTTGTGGTATCTCTCGAGCATCTGCGCCACGTCCCACTTGACCTGCCTGTCGTACTCCTCATCCAAAGACACCTCCACCGTCTCCCTCTGCTCGTCGCCGCCCACACTCGTCTGCCACATGGTCGTAATGAGCGTGCCCGTCCCCACGGCCGACACGAGCTGCTCGTGCAGCGATTGCAGAGATGACGCACTCACGGTGAAGTCGTACCCACACACGCGGATCCTCACATCCTCGTCAGGCCGAATGATCGCCTCGGTTCGCATGGCAACCAGCGCGCGATGGTCACGCGACACATCCTGACGCTGACAGACACGCAGACAGACACACAAGGACACTGCACCGGACCGCACGAGTTTGTTTTGTGTGGCGTACATGTACCGGGTTCGGTGACGCAGCGCTGCTGCTGCTGCTGCTGCTGCCGGGTCTGTCTGGGTCAGCGCCAGCTTGAGAGAATGACTCGCTGCGGCTCCACGGCTGGGAGGGGGAGGGAGCGTCAATAGACGCTGGATGGGACGGCGATGGCGGATCCATGATGCACAATGACCATACAACTGCCCAAAGGTGCCGTGATCGCTTTTCCTCCTCGAATCGTCTGCGAGCTGAGCTGCAAGACGCTCTTCCTCTCAGGGCGGTTTTTCCCATCTTCCCTGCATAACGCTCTCGCGTGCAGACACACAGGGAGGCAGGAGAATGCCACCTCCGTGTATCTGCAAGGAAAAAGGATGGATGGATCCGACTGATTGATTCACCAATGAACGTGCACAAATACTCGTGTCCAGCACACATGCCAATCAGAGACCCACAGCCACACAGAAGGAAGAAGGCCATAAAAACGCTCACACAGACATACATACACACATACATACATACATACATACATACATAAAGACATACATGTACAGTCCACGTGCACACGTACAGAGACATATATATGCGTAAACATATGTAATGTACGTATACATGTTACATACGTACGTACGTATACATATGTAACCTACTCACTCACTCACTGACGTACGTACGCAGACTGCGGCGTATAGACCGATTGATGGATCACTCACTCACTCACTCGGCGGCAAACAAACCTTTCTGGCGTCTCTCTTGTCGCGTCGCATCCATCGCATTTTGCCATAAATGTCACTCATCGATAAATACGTCACGGGCACATCAAGACAGCACTCACTCACTCACTCACCAAAAATGTATCTGACCTCGGAGTAGGGCTGCCGACACCTGACACAGGACACACATTGCACACACACAGGGGCTGCAGACCTGTGTGTGCCGGTTGTCAGCCATTGGATTGCATTGCGTACGTGTGTTCAGGGCAGAGTTTGTCTTCGGTCGGCATGGGGGCCATCCACTTCTCAAAACACTCCTGACACACCACCTGGCAGACACACCCAGACGACACACAGACCTGCACGTACAAACTCGCTGCCATCTCTTCTTCGACTCACTTTATGTCCGCAGGGCAACAGGATGATGTCTGGCGGGTTCTCAAGACACAGCTGGCACTTGCTCACACACGACCCAACACCACCACTGCCGCTGCTGGACGATCCCGCAGCACAGGGGCCATTTGCGGCTGCCGAGCTGCTGCTGCCACTGGGTGGTGGTGGTGGTGGTGAGCCATTGTTGAGAGAGAGGGGCACAGAGGGGACGGCGGTGTGGGTGGGGACAGCTGCTGCTGCTGTTGACGGTGATGAACAGGAGGGCGATGTGCGGTTGGGCTGCTGCTGGTGGCGTAGTTGTATTTGTCGCTCGATGGCGGCCTGGTGGAGCTGAGTGAGTCGGTGCTGCTCTGAGGCGAGGTCGTCAAGCAGCTGACGCACCGACGGCAGATCGAGAGACGACACGTCACCCGCACTGACACGACTGCAGCACAGACAATAGAGAGATAAACAAAATCACGGCTGCTGTCGGTGTGTGTGTGGGTGTGTGTGTGTGCGGTTGGTGACCTGTGTGGTGATTGTGCCGATGACAACTGTTGTTTGAGCGTGAGTATCTCCCGCCTCAGCGGCGCCTCCGCCTCGCGCAGCCGACGCAACTCGACGTCTCTCTCCTGCTCTACACGCGCTGACCTGCACACACACATCAACACACACATGTCATCAGCAGCGTCTGACTCGTGGGTATTCTCTCCCTCCGTCTCTGTCTGTCTGGCTGACCTGAGTCGTTCTTCCCTCAGTCGCTGCCTCAGTTGGTCCCTCTCGCGCGTCACGTCGGCCAGGGCCCTCTCGGCCGCCACACGCACCTCACTCTCTCGCTGGTCGATGGCTGTCCGGTGCTGCGCCCTCAGTTCCAAAATGGCCGACCGGTGCTCGCCACGCAGAGCGTCCAGCTCGTCTCTGTGCTGCTTGGTGACGGTGTCCATGTGTGTCTTGGCGGCCTTGTCGGCCTCCTGGCGCACCTGTTGGGTCACCCGACGCACACGGTCGTCCGCACTGCACACACACAGACAGGGAGGGAGGGATACATCAGATGGTGGATGGCGCGTCTGTGTAATGCGTCGGTGCTGACGTCTTTTGTGTCTGTTTGATTTGTTTGTCTTTGTCTTTGAGGATGTCCTCGAGAGTGCTGCGCTGCGCGTCGGCCGCCTGCCTCTCCTTCTCAGCCATTTTCTTCGACGCAGCCGACTCACTGGTCAACCTACACACACATCCACACACACGAGGGCGTACGGATGGCAGTCAATCAACTGCTTCCCTCCCTCCCTCCCCCTCTCTCTCTGGTCACCTTTTGACATCGTCTTGGAGTCGTTTGATGGTCCCCTTGAGTCCATCCTTTTCCTTCGTGTGTCCGTCCTCGGCGGTCTTGAGTTTCTCGTGTGCGGCCGCCAGCTCCCTCTCCAGTCGGGCACACTTGTCTGTCAGTTTGTCGTTGTCGGCCTGCGACTCATCGGGGGCGCGCCGGCCAGCAGTGGGAGTGGTCGACTCATCCCTGACAGACACGGTCTCCACCTCACTTGACTCGTCAGATGCCTCGCCGTTGCGACACGAGCCCCAAACCTCGAGTAGCTCGGTCGCGTCAAGGTCGCTGCGGTCGTCCACCACATGCTCGTCTGCAGCGGGGCCCTTTTCGATGAGGTCTTTAACGCGTCTCGGCTCCTCCCCTTGGGCGAATCGCTCAGGACCGCCGCCGAGGCGGATGGCGACAATTAGCAGCTCCTGGGCTGCCACGTAAAGCTCCTGCACACAGGCACGGGGGACATGTCGAGCGGAATCAACTGTCTGTCTGTTGGTCAGGTAGTCACGGCATACGTACCGAGCCCTCCTTGGTGAAATCGACCGCACTGTTAACCATCCTCGTGATGTAGTCGTACCAGTGGAGCCAGCCGTCCTCTGACCCCTGACACACGCGCATCGGTTGCAACACACAACAGAAGACAACACACCGATGCTTCCCCGCACGTGTGTATGCGTGTGGGTGTGTTCCCCCCGCTCACCTCCTTATCGACCGCAAGCACCCACTTCTCCAGGTCACTGATGGAATGAGGCCGGCCCCCTCCATACATGCGGGCGTAGTCGGGATGAGGATACGGCAGCCGGAACAGGCGTGACGACGGGTGGCGTCGCAGCGCTGCCGTGGCGGCCTGTATGTCCTCCTTCAGCTGATCCTCGTCTGCAGACACTAGTGGTGCCGGCGACGTCGACGTACTGCACACATGGACAGCAGCAGGCGACATCATCATGACACTCTATCGATGCCTCTTCCTCCCCTCTCTGCGGCTCACTTGTTGGTGTCTGTGGGGCCCCTAGTAGTGGCGCCCCCGAGTTCCTTCTGCATGAGCTGCTGGCCTTTGCTGAGCTCACTGACGAACGTCGTGTGCCACTGGGGCAGCCACTCGCCACGCACATGCCGCAGCGGACCCAACGCAAATACCGCCGACGGATCACTGCACACACACAGAGCGCATGACACTTGTCTCAGCCACTGGTTGAGATGCCCAGCCTCTTGGGTGACCTTTGCAGTGCTGTCCGGTGGTCCATGAAGAACTTCTTGACGGCCCGGCGGTAGGTCTCCCGCTCCTGGGCCGCATCGCACTCACTCGACTCGACACAGCTGACACCACCACCCTCCACCGCCCCTCTGTTGTGCTGCAGGAAGGCCCTCACGATCGCCAGCGTCTCACTGGAGGGCTGTTTGCCGCCCTCTGTGCCCGAGCTGACAGTGGCGATGTCGGGGAAGGCTTCATGGATGGACTCAACCGTGACGGTGGGTGTGGCTTTGCTCGACGGGGTGGGCGTCGGCTTGGGTGCTGTGGGCTTGGTCTTGTCCTTTGGTGTGAAGATGCCTCGGAAGATGCTGCTGGTGGCCGGGGATGTGCGGGAGGGGGTGCTGCTGCTGGATGAACTGAGGCCAGGGAGCGAGAGCAGATCGTGAGTGCCTTCATTCAAAATCTGTCTGTCTCACGTTTTGCTTTCAATGGTGGAGGCGATGCTGCCTGCCAGGCGGAGCAACTCCTCGCCAGTGGTGGGTCTGTGGGAATACACACACACACACACATGCGCTTGCAGAGGTGTACGTCTGTATGTGTGCACCGCACCGCACGACACCCACTTGGTCGGCAGCTGGCGCAGTGCGTCGGCCGTGTGGAAATAGCACCGGCTGCACACGCCGCAACCCATCCACGCGAGAAAGATCCCCTCCCCTCCACTTCTGACATACGCCATCTCGGCCTCATCCACCCCCATCATCGGCAACTGATACGCCAGCGCAGCGTCTGCACCAACCAGGTCCTGCCCTGCCGCGAACTTGTGAAGGCAGAAGGCGCAAGTCGACGTGCGCGACTCGGCCCGCACCACATACACGGAGCCTCCCTCGTTCAGCAGCGCCAGTAGGCCACCAACAGGCCACTGCGTGAAAGGCTTCGTCACGTACTCGTCAGACAGCCGCACCCGACCTCCGTCAATGAGTACTGTCTCGGCGTCGCTGAGCCGAAGACAACCAAACGCCGCTTCCGCCCCCTTTTGGCAGCGCTGATGAGCCGCTCCTTGTGCCGTGCTGACAGCGGCAGGCGCTCGCCTGCCATGACCTTGGCATCGAGGTAGAAGGCCATGGGGAAGGCGGCCCCGTTGCTGACCTCCCGCTCGGCCAGATAATGGGTGTAGTAGTCATCCAGCGACTCGCACGCCATCGGTTCATCCATGTCACGCACCAGCACCACCTTCGGCTTATGGGTCGAGTCGTCAAGAGCCGAACGTGGGACATAGAAGGTCAGCACCGGGGGGATAACGTCCACAGCCGCCGCCGAGGCACGACCTATGCCAGCTCGACGTTCTTCTCGCGCTGGTGTCGCGTCGCACTGATTGGTGTCCCTCTCTCCTCTCTTGTGCAGCAGCAAGGCCTTCACGATCGCCAGAAACTCACGTGACGGCTCCACGTCGCCCTCATGGCTTGACGTGTCAACCGTGACGGTGGATGCGGCTATGGGAGGGGTGGATGGCTGGGTGGATGTCGGCTTGGGCTTGGGAGTGGTCGGCGTCGGCTTGGGCGGTGTCGGTTTGGTCTTGTCCTTGGCCGTGAAGATGCCTCGGAAGATGCTGCTGGTGGCAGGGGAGGTGCGGGAGGGGGTGCTGCTGCTCGATGCGCTGTTCGGTTGTGGCGAGGGGACAGTCTGCGCGTCGGAAGGCGGCGACAGGAGGCTTGACAATGTGCCCAGCACATCTACAGGGGTACGATCAGGCCTGTACACACACACATATGGACAGAAACACTTGACTCTGGTTGCGCGTCACTCACCTGGTCGGATACGCCGACTCAAAGCGATCCAGCGCACATGGTCCGCACATCAGCGACCCTATCGCACTCTGCACACACAGGCCCGCCGGCGCCGCCCGAATGTACCGCCTCTCGCTTTCGACCATGGCATCGTCCATCAGGTTGTCATTGGGCAGAGTGTGCGTCAGAGGAATGGTATCCACTGGGCCCCCTGAGCTGCCCGCACACGGCTCGCCGCACCGACAACAGGTCTGTGTCCGCGACTCGGCCCGCAAGACATACACCAGCCCCCCTGTGCAGTGCGAGTCGGCCGATCCGGTCGCCAGCAGGGCCAACACGGCGGCAAACGGCCACTCTGTGAACGCCTTGGTGACGTACTCGTCCGCCAGGCGGATGTTCCCCGTCTCGACCAGAATGGTTTCGGCGTCGCTCACGCATGCATAACCTGGAGGTGACTGACCTGCATCGGTGAGCCGCCCCTTGTGCCGTGCTGAGGGCGGCAGGCGCTCCATGACTTGGGCATCGAGGTAGAAGGCCATGGGGAAGGCGGCCCCCTTGCTGACCTCCCGCTCGGCCAGGTAATGGGTGTAGTAATCGTACAGCGACTCGAGCGGCTCAGCTGTGTCGGCCCACATGCGCACCTTTATGTCGAAATCCGCCATCGCCCCGGACATTTTGTCAAGGAAAGATCGGAGGACGTGGAAAGTGAGCGGCAGAGTGGTGGTCATCTTGACGCCATCGAGTCTGCTGATGTGCCCCTCCTGGTCGACAGCGAACCACTCGCTCGTCTCGAAGGCGGGGTTGGCCGCAGCGGGGTGGCTGAGCAAGGGGTTGCGGCTGCTGACTGAGTCGTCCTTGAAGGGTCCGAAGGCGATGATGCGCACCCTGGTTCGATCGGCCGTGGACGGGGAGTGTGCCATCCAGAGTCCTCCCATGTTGCCGTCGGCTTGCGGGTAGACCAGCCGCTCGAATACCATCTTCTTGCCCACGTAGGCGATAGTCTCCGGATGAGTCCAAAGCAGCGTCTTCTGCTCTTCCTCTGTCGGGCGGAGCAGGTAGGTACCGTTGATGACCGGAGCGCCGCTCACAGCGAAGCTGCCGTGCCGCCGACCGCCCGTGGGGGCCACGATGCGGCACTGGTCGAAGTAGCCACGATACGTCGCGTGCCACGCAGACTCCCCCTCTGTGCCGCCCTGCGTCGGCGACTTCAGAGGACCTTGGGCGAGATGGAAGAAAAACAGAAGATCTCGAATCGGGTCAGCTGTGGCGACAGCGTCGACAAGTGTCCGCAGGTGAGTCTCCACGTATGTGTAATCGGGCGGCCCTTGTTGCGTCAGGGTGGCCACCGCCTGACGGGCGAAGTCATAGAAGTTGTCGCCTGCGGCGGGGAGGGGCGGGAGGGTGGCGTCAGCTGTGCTCGAGGCGCCTTGCTCTTGAATGCGGCGGCGAATGTCTTGCATCGCCTTGACGAAAGCCACACCATCTCCCTGACAGCACAGAGGTAGCCAGACAGGCAGAGAAGAACAGACAGTCAGCCTGGCTCGCTGCACACACTCGTATGCGTCGTGTCAGTGCATGAAACGGACCTCCATCTGCGCGGCGATGACTTTAAAGACCATCATGATGGTGAACCACACGAGGTGGGAAAAGAGTGTCTGATACTGCACGCTGCCCCAGATCAGCCTGGCCTCCTCGTGCAGAATGGCAGCCGTCTCCTCCAGTGGCCTGATGCTGCCGACGTTAGTCAGCGCCTCAGACAGCTGATCGAGCTGCACACACTCCAACACCTAAACACACGCACACAGGTACGTCCATGTGATCTGAGTGGAAGCCATCGCAGATTTCACACACACACCGACCTGGCGAACGATAATGCGTTTCAGTCTGAAGACAGGCCCGAAGGGACTGTCCGTGAATTTCTGGGCGAGCTCCTCGAAGACCGCTCGCAGGTCCACACCGCACTCCCATGGACCCTCCCGTGTCAGCCGGTCCCTGACGTACTGAGTGTTGCCATAGGCCGACTCGATGCTCACGGAGCCGCTGGCATCCATAGCAGCTGACGAGGCCTGAGGCACCGCTTTGGACCCCTCCTTCATGCCGACTGGGTCACCCCCTGCCTCTGGTGAGGATGCGTGGCAAAGAGTGGTCTCATCTCGGGCAGTGTCTTGCGGAGGCATGCTTGGGGGCATGGCTGTCGACATGTCTTTGGCAGGGACCGGGCCGGCCTCTGATGCAGACGACGCTGCGGGGCCGGTGTCTGCTTGGCCCGTGTCCGGCTGCTGCCGCTGCGTGGTGAGAGGGATTGACGGCGCGGCTGCAGATGCGCTGGCGGCTGAGATGCCCTGCTGGATGCCAGAGGCGGACATCGGGGACGCTGCGAGCAGCAACCTCGCGGAAGACGTAGCAATGCCACTGCGAAGAGACGAAAGGGAGAGACAGGTTCTGCGAGAGCGGGTTACGTGTTCTCGAGTGCTTTCTTGCCTCGTGTTTGGACGAGTAGTCAGACCCGCGTCACCACCTGCGCCACTAGCATCGGCGCTCGACGCGTCATCGTCCCTACACGCATCAAGCAACACATTTATGAGTGAAAGGCACGTCAGGATCAGTGAGTGGCTGGCTGGCTGGCTCATATCTTCGGACCTTTCAGCAAGGTCGGCGATGAAGCTACTGAGGAGGGACCTCGTCATGCCCCAAATTCTCTCGTTCCAGCAATTGCCGCAGACCAGCTTGTCCAGCGAGTCACCCCAGCACGTCCACACGCCCTTTGTCGTTCTCAGGTACTCGAGGTCCTGCTCAGCGGTCGTGCCTCCGACAGTGTGCACCAAGGGCATATCGCCGGCTGGCCTGCCCACATCCGGCCGGGCACCACACCCACCCATGCAGGTGGTACTGCTCGTGAGCTCCGACCGCACCACAGCAACCAGCCCGCCTTTGAACGGCTCATCGACTGACCCACCAGCGCCCATCAGGCTAACTAGTGCAATGGTGGGCCACTGCGTGAAGGGTCGTCGCGCCGCGTCGTCCGAGAGACGCATCAAGCCCCACGGCCCGCGACGGATATCTGCCTCACCATCGCGCACGAGCAAGGGCCGCTTGCTGACGGGAACAGGCTGACATGTCGGCAAATCAGGGAAGAGAGGCTCGGGGTCATAAACAGAACGCGGAAGTCTTTTCACGACGCAATCGAGCAGGTAGTAGGCCACGGGCTGGGTGTCTGACCCTGGCAGGGCATCGAGATAGTCGCCGATGGCGGCACAGGCTATGGATGCGCGGGAAGGCATGGACAATATCGGATCGACCTCAAGTGTTGTCGGGTCGAACCTCGAACGCGGGACGTAAAAGTCGAGTGGGAGGGCGGCGGTAATGTAGATGGGATCGATCGGAACGAGCTGAGCTCCCTCAACAGTGTAGAACTGCTCCGTCTCGAAAGCGGGCGATGAAACAGCCGGGTGCGTTGGGAACGACCCAAAGGGCAGGCCGTTGCGGCCGGGACCGACGGCAAGCAGGCGAGGGGCCGATCGCTGGGCAGTCGCTGGCTCGTACGCCACCCACACGACTCTCGTATCGACTGGGGTCGTCTCATCGGTCGGGGCAACCAGGCGCTCGAACACAATCCCCTCACCCACATAGGCGAGTGCGCCATCCGGCGGCGCCACGAGCGTCGTCTGCTCCTCGGCTGTGGGGCGGATGACATAGCTGCCGTTGAGGGCCGCGAGTGAGCCTGTGGCACCGCTCACGGTGAATGAGCCAGGACGCTTGTGGCCCTCTCCCTCTCCCAGTGCACAGTCAGCAGCCAAATACTCGTCGAGGAACATGTCCCACGTGTAGGAGCCCGCTGCGGTGATCGGCCCTTTGTCGACTCGGAAGAGCTCCAGCAGCCGCATGAGGCCGTCAGCAGGGAGCAAACGTGCCCCGGCGAATCGGTGGTAGGGCGACGGGGAGTGCTGCAGTACCAGCTGGGCGGGGTCGATGTCCGGGGGGAAGATGGGCAGACGGGTGGCGGATGGTTGTCTCGTCGGCTGGTTGGATGGACTCCTGGCAGACGGCCGCATTGCCTTGATGGCTTGGACGAAGGAAGCAAAGTCAGCCTGATCGACACGACAACGACATGGCAATGCATGAGTGAAGCCACGTTCCTTGCCGCTTCCTCCCTTGCTCACATCCAGCTGATTGGCGATGTCCTCGATGAGGGTCACGAGAAACCGCCACATCTTGACCGACAGCACCCTCTGCAGATGCGCCTCAGACGCCATCTGCTCAGCCGCCTCACGCACGGCCTTCACACACACGTCGAGCCTCCCATTCCTCCCCGCCTCCCGCAGTGTGGCAAGATCGATGGCTGCGCAGACGCTATCACAGAGAAGCCACCTCAGTTGGTAAAGCGGCATGAAGCGGCTCGGACGTTCCGCTGAGGATGGCTTCGATGCTGATTGGGCAAGTGGCATCAGATGAGTTGAGGAGGCTGCTGGTGCGAGGCGCATCTGCAAGGAGCTCGGCTAAAGGTGAAGACTTCTCAGGCTTCGACGACTTGGCCACGGCGTCCGTGCGTTTCCTCACAGGTGGTGTGTCTGCCGCAATCGCAATCGGTGGAGCTGCCTCATCAGCCTCACGACCATCCTGACTCGCCTCAAGGGCAGCACCACGCTTCTTGGCCTGATGCACACACACACAAGCATACTTGCTCATGGCCAATCAGTGTTTGTGCCTGGTCGTGTGTAGGCGTACCTTTTTCGCCCTTTTCCTCTGTGCTTTGGATGTGGACTGCACTGCGGCCGTGTCCATCACTCCGGTCTGCGCAGATGCCGATGAAGCGGCAGGGACGTCTTCGGCGCCTTCCATTCACTCAGGCGGAAGAAGGGCAGATCCGCCTCGCCCTGGGCTGCAACAGAGACCACAAGCAGCGCCTCGGAGGGTCATGGTGTGATCTGTGGCAGCGGTGTGTTGCCTCACCTGCTGATGTTATTGTCGCAGGCAACGCGACTTTTGAGTGAGGGGCCGCACGTGTGAAGCCACGGCACACATGAGGCGCAGATCTAAGTGAGTGGCCAAGTGACAGCCACGCAGCTCGCAGTGCGAAATAGTGACCGTTTGTGTGTTCCAAGAAACGAATGAACGATTCATTGCAGTGGATGGCTTCACTGATTGCAAATTGAATGAGAGATTGCTTCACCCAAAAAGTTCATATAATCGTCAATTCGTCGGTCCGTTTGTCTCCCAACCACCGCCTGCTGGCTCTCGTGCCATCCATCCAATGGCATCCATCGGCACCCTCGCACGTCCGTCTGTGTGCTGCCTGGCCGCCTGGCTGCCTCTCTGCCTGGGTGTCACCGAGTAAGTGAGTGATTCAGAAAGAGTGAGACGTGCTGCCTTAGCCATTCGGAGGCATCACCACGCGCACACACACACACACACGCACAGAGGACAAGAGAAGGAAAGGGAAGACCAGCGAGGACAGGACGAGACAGACAAGGCAACACGAGAGGAAACAAGGTAGACAGGCAGCAGGCAGCCGACCGACAGGTGGGCCCTGACGTCGTGCGGTGTGTGCTGTGTGTGCTGTGCTGTGACGTGATTCAGTCCTTCATCCATCAGCCATCCATCGCATAATCAATCCGCCCATTCCATTGACTAGTGATCACTCCACATACAGCATGCAATTGATGCAGCACACACACACACAAGACAGTCAGCAAGACAAGACAGTCGGACGGCAGCGCACAAACTTCATAGTTGGCACAGCTGGCTGCCTGTGGAGACGCTCCCATTCCATTCCCGAAGACTCAATCAACATTTACAGTCACGTCACGCAGGCAACTGTGGTTGATTGATGGACAGACATGCACAGTGTCTCGTCAGCTTTTGCTGCGCTTGTGCCACAGTGTGTAAGTGCGTGGCGCTTGTAAGAAGGCCACACTCCACACAAAGCACCACAGCGCGCCAAGCGTGTGCCTCCATGAACCGTGTCGCCCAGTTGTCTGCTCATGAGTCTGTTCATTTGAGGTCACTGCGGGGCAGATGGGGTAGACATAGATCGATGGCGACGACGAGGAGCTCTGCAGTGCCTGCAGCCATTCGACACACACAAGAGTGAGAGTGTGGGTTAACTTTTCGTGTGTCTCATTTCGATGACTGACCTTGGTGATGGGCAGAGTGTGTTGTGGCTCCTCACTGGCACCCGCTTGGACGAACACATCTGCAGAAGCAGGCATTACACACACGAATGAGGACACTCGAGTGACAGCCCACCCACCTGCGTGTTTGCATGACAGCTGGAGGTGTGCGTCTGTGTGGGTCGACGGCAGCAGGACGGTGTTGGCGCCCTCACTCACGTCGGGCGAGCACTCGTGGCCGTTTGCCCATCGGACGCACAGCTGGCAGGGGGAGACCTCCGCCCAGCAGTCGATGGCGGCGGTGCTTCTGCACACCACATCGAAACTCACCAACAAGTGAGCCGCCAGCTGCCAGACACTCTGATGAAAGAACAACCAGAGACACAGACAGTGAGCAAATGAGCCTTTCTTCTGTCTCTGTGTCAGCTCACTCACATTTGCGCTGCAGACGAGGCCGAGAGACACCATTGTTCTGAGCAGCGCTGACATGGTTCTCTTGACTAGTGAAGGAAACAGACGCATACAAACAGCCGATGTGTACACACACATCACACACGTCTGTGTACACGGCTGTTTGAGAGGAAAGGAAAGACAATCATTCGACCAGTCAGCCAATCAGACAAGGATCAGGCCGAGCATGATGGTGTCGTCTCGCGCGTGTCTCGCTGCCGCTGCCACGTGTCTGGCTGTGTCGCTGGTGGTGTGTGACGGCGCCCTGCCCCTGGCACAGCGTCTGCTGTCGCCCTCGACCTCCAACCACCCCCTCTACCGACTCGACTACCAGGACGTCCGCCAGGCCAGCGAGCCCGTCCCCGTGCGAATCGCATACACCGTGCCCAAGTACGGCGCCAAAGACCTCGACAAGGCACTCAAACAGGCGTCAGACACATCAGGTGAACGAGAGAGACACATCCATGAGGTGGCATGTGGCCACGTGTGTTGGCTGGATGAGTGTTTGTGTCAGTCTTGCTGGCGGAGCGGATGCGCGAGCGTCGCCGCGAGGACAACGACTGCGGCTATCGGCTGCTGCACTCGCTCCGCGAGATCAACCACGCCATGGCCCGCATCAGACAAGCCGCTGCCGCAAAGGTAAGCTATCACCTGCACACACACACACGCAGAGAGCCATACCTGTGTTGTCCACTTGTGCGGTGCCTGTGTCATTACTAGGTGTATGGCGCTGACGATGGGGAGGCTGAGGGAAATTTCATCGCCACACCGGAGGCCATCGTCAGTGACGCATACAGAAGACAGCTCACCGGACTGCCGTGAATGAATGAATGAGCCAATGAATGAGTGATGGGCGGATGGAACGACATACAGACAGACAGACAGACAGACACGGAAGAGAGATGACACTAAGACCTCAGTGACCGACGAACGAACCGACCAACGAACGAACAGACCGACCATGTGAAAGTGAATCAATCATTGAGAGCACAAACACGGAAGTGTCGCATCATCCAATCACACACCGAACCCACCCACACACGGAGCCAGCGGGTCAGCCACACTACATCATGTGCACCGCCACACTGACTAGTCCTCATCAGCGTCCTCGGCGTTGATGTTGAAGTACCTGAGCTCGTACTTGTTCTTGATTGGCGCGATGACGTGCAGGAAGTCCCGCAGCTGCTGCTTCTTGAGGTACTTCTTGGTCAGGTACTTGAGGTACCGCTTCGAGAACGGCAGCTCCACATTGACGTTGACGCGCGTCTTCTCCCGGGTCACAATCACCTTCTCACCCAGGTTGCCCGTCTTGTTGTCCACCTTGATCTTGCTCTTGAAGAACTGCTCAAGGCCTGCCGCGTCCAAGATGTTGTCCTCAACCTGACACACACATATCGGAGGCACCAACAGCGTGATATCGGCCTCCCCGCGACACGCGGCTTTCCCCCATGGCTTTCTACCCCTCTGACTGTCCCTCCCTCCCTCCCCTCACTGCCGTCCAGTGCGCTCACCGGCTGCTGGCATTCGACGATGAAGGTCTGCCGCGGCCGCTTCTCTTTGGGCCCTGTTTTCTTCTTCCCCGGCACGCTCTTCACCATTGTGACCACACGTAGCCAACAGGGCAGCCAGATCTTCGTGCGAGCTCAAAAATGCTGCGAGCTTGTGAGGCGCTGGGAGGGCTTGCTTCGAGATCTGTGCCGACGACGCGGTGATGTCGAGTGGATGACGCTGCGGAATGAACATTGTCAAGCGGAGCTCCCGACGGCTTCACATCAATGGACTGCCCTCCTTCGGTCCTCCTCTCCACTTGCTGAGTGACGCCGCCTCTCTTTCCGGTGGGCACTTGCGCACACACACGCTCCATGAACTGTGATGCCTTTTATCGCCTTTGCATCCCCATCTCTCAGGTGCATGTGTTGTTGTGGCGCCACCAGGACCCTCCAGGTGCGTCTATGAAGGAGGGTGGGGTGGCCTTGCAGTCAGAGATCAGTCAGGAAGTGGCCTGTTGTATGATGAACCAACCAATCGTGCGTTATTCTTCCTACTCCACCAACGTGGAGCTGAGGATAACCGCCTAGAACATGCTGACCATAGCAGTGACCAGACAGACAGACAGACATGGATGCATGGCCTTCGTGTTGGTGATGTGGCTTGACCTGTCGCGTGTGTGTGTGTGTGTGTGTGTGTGTGTGTTGCAGGTCGGGATGGACGCCGTTTTGCTGCTGGTTGTCGGACATCGCCCGCCACACAGTGCGACAAGACAGCACACGGGTGGCCATTTAGTCGTTGAGAGGATTCTCGCCTGCTGAGGACACCACGGAGCGAGCTGTGGAGCCATCGGTTGTCTGTCCGTCGATTCTTTTCCTCACATACCAAGCAGAGAGGCTGAGGTAGCTGTAGGCAGGCAGATGCACGCACACTTGGTCATATGCGTGACATCCTTCTCATGCGCTTCGTGTCACACCGAGCAGAGAGGGTGACGTGAATTGCATGATGAGGAAGTCACACATATGACCAGTTGTGCGTGCGTCACTGCATACGTGTGTCGCTTTGTTGATTCCGACCGAGGGGAGGTGTGTGCTATCGTTCGCTATCGTCTACCCTCGATTCCTTCATGTCGCTCACAGCAAGGTCGGGAGCCGATTGCAGCCTTGTCAATCGGCTCCCTACCTGGCCGATGGCGGCAGCGAAGAATCGATGACGGACCAAGGCATCACATGAGGGAGCCACTTTTCTGAGTGTTGTGAGGGTCCTGGTGATGGTAGCTGAGGGGTGTTGGGGGAGAAGCATGGTTGGTCGGGGGCGTGGGGAGCGGGTCGCCGAGTTCATGTCACATCAAACACATGATGTGTGTGCTTGGTGATCCGCCTGCCACTGCCACGACCAATTCACGCGACAGCGGGCCAGATGGAAACGGAGCACTGTGGTGTTTGTGCGACTGTTGACCTTGACTCGCATCATGGCAGGCCGTGAATGTGTCTTATGTACACCATCACGCACAACGCACGACGAGAAAGCAACAAAAATCCGCCATGCACACACACACACACTCCCCACACACGTGTTCCATATCGACTGCACACACACCCACACAGGGAAGTCTCTGCCAGAGAGCGTCATGTAGAGCAGTGCTCACAACACGTACATGCGACCGCACACACACACAAACCCCACGCAATCTGCACCGACACGCACGCACACACTGCTTCTCGAATTTGCCCCCTCTCCCTCTCCCCTGCCCCTCCCCCAATTCACCCACCCATCGGAAGGCAAGCGGACACAGAAAGAGATAGTACAAGAATAAGCCTGGCGGTTGAGTCGGGGAAAGTCACTGTAAAGGTGTGGGTCGGCGTCAGCTACCCTAACAAAGAGGCCGTCCATCGGCGGGGGAGCAGGCTGGCTGGCTGGCTCGCTGCTGCAGGGGGGCACCCTCCCCTTTCACCTTTCCTCCCTCCTCCCCTCCCTCTAAGTATCGACACACTCCCACACAAACGAGGAGACACTCCCACAGGCATACACTCGCAGCCACAGACATCTCGGAAGCATCGTCTGTACACACGTCGAGCGAGATGCAAGGCCGTGAAGTGAATGCATGCATCTCCTCTCCCTCCCCCCCCCCCCTCCCCCCAGTCATCACGTCCCTGTCTGTCTGTCTGTCTGTCTGTATTTACACTGGACAGAAAGAGCCATCCACCCATCATCATCATCATCATGGCCGCATCAGACTACACGCGAGCGTCTTTCCATGTCCTCTCCGTCTTGTGTGTGTGGGCTGTCAGTCTTCGTAGTGCGTGGGCGTGCTACTGATCAGATCTGACAACGAAACCAACACAGTGAGTGAATCAGTGGGTGGATTTCGTTGGATTCCGGCGTGTTGCGTGTGCTCACTCACCCTCCTCTGTGATGACTCTCTGCAGCCCTAGCAGGTGCAGGGGCATAGGAAAGTGACTCGACACACACTACAGGAACACACACACACAGATCTCACCTCAGGGTGCCATGTTTCGCTGCTTTTCCTTCTCACCTCGCGAGCCATGGTCGCATTGTGGCTGCTGCTATCGACGACAGGCGGCACGAAGCCGTTACTGCTGCTATGAAACTGCCCCATCCCGCCCCCTGCCCCTCCCCCCAGCCACCCCTGACGCGCCATGACATCCACCTGCATCTGAGCCACCACCATGGCAGCAGCAGCCATGCTCCCCGTCTCAAACGCGGCGAACCCCGGCTGTGGCGGCACCGAATGCTGCTGCTGCTGCTGCTGCCCAGTGCTCATCGTGCTGGGCCCAGGTGCGATGATGTCCACTGTGGTCATCGGGTATGTGTTCATGTTGGTGTCCGCGGTGGTCAGCATGGGAGGGGGGAAGGGCGGAGGCGGGGTGATGTTGGCCAACGACACCTGCGGCTGCTGCTGGTGGTGGTGGGGATAGTGCTGGGGATAATGGTCGATGGCGGTGGTGTGGTGTGTTGCGCCAACGTCCGTGAGCTCCAGCGGCTGGGACGGCACGAACGATTTGATCTTGGGCATCGGCACATCCGGCCCGTGTGGCTGGGGCTGATACGCGTAGCAGTTACAGCTGTAGGTCTGGTGGTGCAGAGGGGCCGGGGGGGGGGGGGGGGGGGGGGGGGGGGGCTGGTGGTGGGATGGGGCGTGTCCGACATCGATCACGGGCATCGAGACATCCATGTAATCAGCAGACGGAGGAAGGGGATACGCGCTGGTGGGTGCAGCCGCATCTGGCGAGAAGGGGAAGACGCTCTCGCCCTGATGAGCGCCAGGAAGCACCGACAGCACCATCGGCACGGCGTGCATTTCCATGATCGGCTGCTGGTGTCCCCCCTCTGGCTGCCACTGCTGGTCAATGACGGCTGCCGGGTGTGTGTTGGAGTGATCAGTGGCGGAATAGACGGCCGCGATGGCGTCATGACCTCCACCTCCAGATGGCTCCTCCTCCGGCAAGCCCTCGCACTGCACCGCTATCTCGCTGGTCGACGACAAGGCACCCACTGCACGCCCTCCTCCCTCCCATCCGGTGACACCCACAGTAGCTATGCCGATCCTTGCCCCCTCTCCATCCACCTCGTCACACGCAGTGGTCTGCTGGGTGTGGTCACAAACAGCCACGACCTTCACCGCTGCTGCTGCCGCTATTGCACCGCTCGCCAGATGGTGCTCTCCCTCCTCATTGCCCGGCGGTGTGTCCTGCTGGTCCTCCTGGGTCTCATTTGCCGTCTGCTCTCGCTGCCGATCGGTCGTTGTGCGATTGTGCTTGGTGGTCTTGGTGGTCTGCGTGGGGAGGGGCGGGAAGTCCTCAGTCGACAGAGGGCTGGGGTCCTCACCGTCGGCGGCGTCAGCGAGAGATTGCGAGCCCGACCACACCGCCTTGCTGTCCGATGGACGGCTGCCGGCGCCGCTGACCTCGCACCCACGCGACTCTGCCACAGCCGCACGCGACGCTCCTTTGTCTCGAGTGCTCTTGGGTCTGCTGCTGTTGTACTGGGTGCGTTTGGTCCTGGTGTTGGTGCTGCTGTTGTTGGTGTGTGTGGTGGAGGGTGGGTAGTAGACAGCGGGGTGAGGGGTGGGCTTGAGGGTGCGGGGAGGGGGCAGGATGGTCGGCATGGGGACCGAAGGCGACTCACTGAGAGAAGGACTGCATCCACCGGCCAGGCAACCAACAAATACACAACAGGCAAAAAGCTGAAATATGCTTCGTACGAGTGTTATGAGCCCCACTCGCTCACCCGTGTTGCTGCTGCTGCTGTCTGTTGCCAGAGCTATGGAGGGTATGCGACGGCCGACGGTGTGGGCGTGGGCGAATCCCCGTGTCAACACGGCCGTCGTCATCACCCGTGTGCCCCATGCGTGGCGGTCTAGGTGGGTATGGGTAAGGCCTCAGCTCCTCGTTGCTGTGTGCGAACCAGCAGTCATCTCCCCGGCTGCACGGCGGCCGGTTCTTGCACATCCTCGTCTTGCGCAAATCCGAATAACCCGAAGCGTACGGCATCGAAAACCTGACCACAACACCACCACAACAACAACAACAACAACAACGCGCAGCACACAATTGGGCGTGGCATTTGTCCATCCCTCCATCCATCCATCCATTCTCGATGTCTGCGCACCTGCTCCTATCATGCTGAGGAGGGAAGGGGTGGCGGCCCTGGTCGTCCATCAGCCAACCCCAGACAAAGAAGAGAAAACACGAAACAGATCTGTACAACGGGCTGATGGATAGAGAGCCGTCCTATGGGTGAGGGGCGGCTGCCTTCAGCCACCTCTCGGGAACTACGGAGCTCAACAAGCACCGCATCACCGCCACCATCTCACTCACGGCGGCATCTTCACATGGGTGGATGAGCAGGCCCCACACTTCCCTCGCCTCCCTTGCTGCCTCTACTATGAGGCCTGAAGCCTCAAAGAAGCATCGTCATCGAACGAAACGCGTTTACACTGCGAGCTGAGAAGCGCAGATCTTAAGCCTGCGTGTCTTCGCACGGTCTATTCGCGTCAAGAGCTTCCCCTGCCGATGGATCTTCTGAGAGTGGCAGCGATGTACCTTTTCCCGCGAGTAATGAGGATCCGGACAAGACGGCTGGCAGCATCACGGGAAGAGGCTGCGAGACAGAGGCATTCTCGTACGCCCAGCGTTCACGTCAGCACCGCAGTGCCGCCCGCGCAGCCCGCCTCAGTCACCATCCCGTCTGCCGCCACCGCGATGTCGAGTGCTGTCAGCGAGCCGGAGCGAGAGCCATCGACGCGGCCCTCGACATCCGATGTGACCGATGCGGCCGAAGGCCAAAGGTGAGGCGTTCGCTCAGGCAGCCACACCCAAGACACACAGACTGACTGACTCCCTGGATGGATGGATCGTGTGTTGTGTGTGTCCGTGCAGTCGGCCTCTGGACCTCTTCGGCATCGACTCGAGCGTCTACCTGTCGCCGGGAGAGGGAGACTGGCTGCTCACGCAGGAGCATATTGACTTTATCCGAAACTCCACATGGAACCCAGTCGAAGCCACCGACGACCTCGACCCCCATGTGGCGCATCCACGGGCGATTCCAGCACGGCTGGGGGAGCCAATCAGGCGCATCTACCGTGCGTCAGAGCATGGCTGGCAATGGGGGCATTTTCTCGGTGCGACCAATGGCCGCTCGCCTCTGCTGCTCGTGGGTCGCGTGGAGGGCACTGGGGAGTTCTTCGCCGTGGCCATTGCTGGCAAGATCGACGTGACGGCCGACAACGCATCCAAGCTGGAAGCCAGGACGTCCGTGTTCAAGCTCAAGGGGCCGGCCGGGTATCGACACCAGGGAGCCCTTCTAGGGGGCAGTGAGATGTATCTGGCTGGGATGCAGCAGTGGTGTGGGGTCGACGACATCACAGCCAGAGGCACCACCATGAGGGCACTCCTCGCCGTGTCGGGCTTCACCCTGGGCATCCTCCCCTCATCGGCCGGCCAGCGCCCCCCTTCAGTCAATGTCGCGATGCTGCACTCGCTGAAGCGATGCCACGCCTTTGCGCCGTCCAGCTTGTGGCCGACCTGGGAGAGGGCCGTGGTGCACGTGCCCGGCTGTGAGACGAACAGGTCTCCGGCGTGCTTTTCCCCTGCGAGTGTCAGGGGGTGGTACTTCGATCTCGATGAGTTGGAAGCCTATGCACTGGCATAGCCAGCTAGGGACATGCGACGCGTGACGTGTGTGTGTGTGTGTTGGAGCGGAGGGGGGGGGCTTGTAGACTGAATCATATTTATTGAGGTCCATAATCGATGGCCTCTCGTCACTTTGCTCAAGTTGTGTGTCGATTTGTCGAAAGAGTAGCCTTGCGTGTATATGGGTGAGTGTGTCCTTCCGTGTGGTTGCCTCGCCCTCGAGACTCCCCAAACGCCACTGTTTATGACTCGTCTGACCTGATCGGTGCAGTGCCCTTCGTTAGTGTGCAACCGGTCTGTCTGTTTGTCTGTCTGTCTGTCTGTCTGGTGTATTCTCGTTGATGGTTTCCTACCGTGGAGAGCGGCACAGCTGTGTTTGAGGGAGCGTCCTCAGCGTGCCAAAAAGTCAGGCCATATGAATGCAGTGAACGGGCACATGGACGAGCTAAGACAGATCATTTTTTTGGTCAAGTGCCTCGTTGTAGACAAAACGTGATAAAAGACGCTGCAAAACAAAACCAAGAGCCCCATCTCTCTCTTAACTCGGTCGGTCGCTCGCACCGTCTCACTCAAACCAGCGAGCAGGCAGAGTCACACAGGGTTCATGAGCTGTGACTGCAGCCTCTCTATTTTGCTCTGCACGGAAAAATCCAACACCTGGTCGCCCAACTTGACCACCAGGCCACCCTGCGGACCACAGACACACGGGGGAAAGAGAGAGAGCGGCTGCCTTCGTGCGTGTGTGTGTGTGTGTATGTGCGTGTGAGAGAGATCATTTACCATGATGGCTGGTGATGTGTTCCACTCCATTATGAGTTTGGCGTCCTTTCCAGCGCGCTTCTTAAGGGCGGCCTCGATCTCCTTGCTCTCAGCTGCTGACAGCGGCTGCAGCAAAGACACATAGACAGACAGACGCAGTGTGTCCTCTGTCTGTGTCGGCCGGCGCTGCGTGCCGCACCCACCTTAGCTGATGTGACTTTGCACTTGACCTCTCCCTTGTGGGCTCTGAAGAAGTCCTCAAACACGTCGATGACCTTCTGCAGCATCCCCACTCGACGGTTCTCCATCAGCACCTTCAGGAAATTCACCGTCACATCCTGAAACTGATACTGACCAACACACACCCAACACACACACATCACTCACCGAGATCTTCCAGCCACTACCGACGACTACCTTCTGTGCGATGGATCCGAACACGGTGCCCTTGATGTCTGTGGGGATGCCGGGCGTCTCGACGAACAGCTTGAACTCCTTGGACTCTGCTATGGAGTCGCGGATCTGCTCCAGGTCCCCGAACACCTTGTCGAGGATCTTCTTTCTGCTCGCCGCCTGGAAGAGGGCGTTGGCATACCGACCCTCGAGGCTCTTGTCGTCCACATCCGCCATGCCGCGAGTGAAGGCTGGGCGAAGGGCGGCTGGCAGATGCCGCCGCGACGCCACGCCATTCGACAGCCGGGACAATGCGCTGCGGTACATTGATCACCACAGCCTCGGATCTTCTGCTTCACCACTGTGGTGCGAGCTGAGCTTGCAGATGGATCGCCCTGAAAAAAACGTGCCAATCAGTGCTAATCGGTCCGCCCTCAAAGTTCCCCGTACCAGACTGATTGAGAAACTGTCTTCATCTCAGCGATTTCACCGATTTTCATCTGCCCCCATAGGCAGTCTCTTCCGGAGTCTCTCTCACCAACGTCACATCAATGCTGAGGAGGAGGGTGCAGCGGAGGCTGTCGTGCTGCGCTCTTCTCATGACGCTCTTGGCAGGTGACTGCACGCACTTTGCACTGCAACATGCATCAGGCTGAGCTCCTTCCTTATGCCTGTCGTCAGGCGCTGCAGCTGCACTGGAAGGAGGCCTGAAACGTCCATCATCTATGGCCGTAGACAATGGCACACTCACCGGTACCACCCGCCGGCAGCAGCGACAGCGACATGGGAGAGGGCAGTGGCACCGGGACGACAGAAGCCGCAGACAAAGGAGGACGCCGGCGTCTCTGGTGCCCTCGCCGCTATCCAGGATGGTCGGGCACTCCCTCCCCGCCATCTACGAGGAGATATGGGCGGCAGACAATGCTGTGGCCGAGTCGGCATTCTGCCGCAGATACGCAGGTCGAGAAGAACAAGGACACGTACACGCTGTGGAGCACCTCTTGACGTCAATATGTATCTCGCCTGCGCAGGTTTGCCCTTGGTTGACCGGTATCGCTCCACCCGCTCGCAGCAGTGCACAAGCCTCCTCAGAGACCGCAGCGAGCAGCTGCACTTCACGGCAAAGCGGTTCCTCCGTCTGTTTGCGGAGTTCTTCCTTCCGCGGCCAAGAGGTCACACCACCACCGGCAGGCAGAAGGACACTTTCACTCCTTCGCCGCATGCACGAGGGGACGACATGTTCGAGTGGAGCAGCAGGGAGAGAAGCGAGCCGTCTCCCTCCCTCCCCGACGCACAGCAGCCGGTGCCGGCTGTGGCAGAAAAGAAGAGACCCCCCGAAGACATAAGGGACGGTGGGGAGGCCCGTGGTGGGCCGCCGAGCCATTTCACGGCCATGCCGCTCGACACGTCTTCGAGCAACTGGATCCAGCTGCGGAAGGCCCTGCACTCCACCATCAACTGCTACGACATATCGGCCGACCCACGAGACCAGTTGTGTGTCTACGAGAACGTCAAAGTGAACCTCACCGACCTCGGCGCGTCTCCGTTGCCAGCCCGCTGCATCAGCGCGGCGTGCATCGAGGACCACTCTTCACCGCTGCCCACAACGGACCCCCTCTATGCTGATTGGAAGATCGGCACAGCAAAGGACGCGCAGAAGGAGGGCGTCAAGGGTGGTGGGAAGGAGACGCCGGACAAAGCGGTGAGGCGGGCGGTGATCTACTCAGGTGAGGGACATTGGCAACGAACAAGACTGCTCACATGGGCGACAGACACGTGCTTGTGCGGTGACGTGCAGGTGACGTCAGCTGCGAGGAGAAGGAATGGGTGGAGCAGCCCGTTTTCGCAATGGCGAGGTCGATCAGAGAGACACGGAGCCACACACCGACAAATGTATATGTCTCCCCATTGCGATATCAGGCAAGGCAGTGAATTGTCCAGCCTCCAGATGGACGGCATCGCGGCCTACGTCGCCCTCGGGGTGATCGACTTCCCCTTCTGGACCGCACAGTTCGTGGCCATCGACGGACACCCCGCCGGCCCGTTCGCCTCATTCTGGTCGAGACTCTTCCCCGCCCGCACGCCGATATTCTTTGCCCAATACGACCCCCAGTGTGTTTCTGGGCGAGGATGTGCCCGTTTTGTACCCCTCGTATCGGTACCCACATTGTTTCCGCAAGCTGGCGGTGCTCAAGACGGCCCCGAGACGGCCGCCTTTTGACCTCTTTCACGCCGTCCTCGTCAAGCCTGCCGCACAGCTGCCCCCGCCACTGGTGCCGCGGTATGTCGGCTGCCGGTCCGCTTTGCTGTATGCCTATCGCCAACACGTGCTGTCGTCTTTCATCCTTCAGCAGCAGCAGCAGCAGCAGCAAGAGGCCGCTGAGTCCGCCACACCACCTACCAAGGCCCCTCCTGCTGTCAGCAGCGGCGAGGTGGCGACGGTCCCCCTGACGCGCAAATGTGTGCGCAGGGGTGTGTGCGAGATGCTTGCTAGGGGAAAGTATGCCCAGCAGAAGACGACCAAAATGACCAAGCTGGGCAAGGACGGCCTACAGAGGCACCTGGAGTCGGTACAGCGGCAGGAGGACACAAAGCCGGCAAAGGCATCAGAGTCCTTCATCGACACACATGGCGAGAACGAGACCGAGACCGCCTTGATGGACGAGGAAGACTATCAGCTGCTGTGCTCATCCCCCACGACTCTCCCCTCTCTCTCCGGCCCTTTGCCCATCAGGAGAGACACACGGCTCTTCATCGACCCGCCACCGAGACACATCGTGTTCGCCTCTTCTCTGCCATGCACACTCGCCAATGGGGGCGAAGGGAAGGGCGAGTGGCAGTGCCCCATCGACGGCCAGCCAGACCTCCCAAGAGAGCTGTCGATCATCAAGCACCTGCAGCGGCAGCTGGTCACCACACCCGGCTCTTATCAGGGGTGGAGCATCGAGGTCACCTTCTTCGACACACTCACATACCCAGACCTGGTCAACCTCGCGGCCGTCACATCCGTCCTGGTCGTCAGCAGCGGCCGCCATTCACGCGATGCCGCACAGATGTACCCCTTCATGCGCCCGGGGGCGCAGGTGGTGATGCTCATGCAGCAGCAGCAGCAGCCGCAGCAGCAGACTGACAACATGCTGCCCGAGCCCTTTCTGCGTCTCTGCCAGGAGGCGTGGCGATGGGTGGCGGACGTGTTGAGGAGAGTGGGTGTGGGGGGTAGGGGGAAGGGCGTCAAGGAGAGGCAGGTCAGTGGGGGGGTGGTGTTTCGGGGCGTGATGGCTGGGGGTGGTCTTGGGGAGATTGGCGAGAAGGATGTGTGGTGCAAGGTCAAAGAAGCGATTGACGAAGTGGCCAAGAGCAGCAGCAAGAGATAGAGAGAGGCGGGATGGGGTGGCGCTGTGGTGTGTTTGTGCGCTTGTGTTGTGTTGTGTTGTGTGGTGGGTGTCTGTCTTCATTCATGAATGTGCGAAGACTCTCTGGGCGTGTGTGCATGGGATGCGATGACTTTTCGTTTTTGTCGTTCTTGTTCTTCTCAATGACGGGGGGATCTCGTTGACTATCATATCTTCCTGCGAAGTATCGGGTCTCCCACGCACGACACAGCACACCACACCACACCACACCATCGATGCAGCAGCCGGCAGCCATACCACTTCCATCATCATCACCCCATTGATCTGATCAACTCCATCCAAGGTAGGTACCACACACACCATACCAACATGTATGTGTATGTATTCTTATATACACAACACACCATCGAATCGATCGATCCATCAGCATGGATGGCAGTCGGAAAAAGACAGACAGACAGAATGACAGACAGACACCGAAAGATAAAGAGGGAGAGGAGACAGACCATCGCAGAGAGGGACTGCACCGATCCATCCGGCCATTTAATTAATTCGTGTGGGCGCATTCACTCGTCAGCCAGACAAACAGCCGGACAGATAGACAGATGGGCGGTTGTGTCTGTGTGTGTGTGGTGGGTGTGGGTGGAGGTCTTAGTAGTCAACAAAAGGCGGCCGTCCATCCATCCATCCATCCAGGCAGGTCGACAGGCAGGTCGATAAATGCTATGAGACAAGGCAACCAAGGGGCAGACGAAATGTTAGAAAAAGAAAGCAGCGCGACGCAGGCAATGCACGCAATGCAGGCAACGCATCCAGCCATTCACACACGCGCGCATGAAGGGAGGAACGTCCTATGCAGCACAACACGTCACACCACACCACAACACAACATTCACACACACACACATATAGAAATACCCCCACTCTCCTCCCGGCCAGGCTGGCGAGAAAAGAAACGACCGGTATCTGTGTGTATGTGTGTGTGGTTTCTTCTCCTCTGTATGTATCTCTCTGACTACTTCGTGTCCGTGCGTGTGTGTGCCAGCCCGTGTGTAAGCACACGTGCTGGCACACACATCAGCACTCACTCCAGGCAGGCAGGCAGGCAGGCATTCAGCTATCTGTGTGTGTGTGCTTTGTACAAGAAATGTGTGTGGCGGGCGGGCGGGCAAGCCATCGGTCGGTGTGTATCGGTGTGTTTGGTTTGTTAGGTGGGGTGTGTTGTGTTATCTATCTAGGTCTTGAGAGTCTTGGTGGACTCCTGACACACACACACACACACACACAGAGAGAGAGAGAGAGAGACAGAGAGAGAGAGGGGAGGGAGAGGGAGGACGGCTGCATGGGCACTGTGTGGCGTGGCATATGTAATTATTCGTCACTGACTGACTGACCGCGACGTCTTCGCCCGCCTTCTTGGCCTCGTCGGATGTGCGGTCGATGACCTCCAGCAAGTTCGCCAGGCTGTGCACGTTCTTCTTAGCGGCGTGGACCTAAAACCACCACACACACACACACACAGGAGATTGACAGATGCGGACATGTGGCTGTGTGTGTGTGTGTGGCGTGTTGAGTGTGTGGTTTGGTTACTTACGGCGGGGTTGATATCCTTCTTCTCGAGGCCGTGTGTTTTGGCCATGTCCTTGACCTTGGGGAGGAGCTCCTTGCCCTTGTCCGACACCACAGTGAACTTGTCCTTCAACCTGAACAAACAGACCGACACACACACAGATTACACCTTCGTTGTGTGTCTGTGGCCGTCTCCCCCTCTCCCTCTCTCCCTCTCTCTCTCTCTCCCTCTCCCTCTTGGTGTGTGTGTGTGTGTGTTCCGTTGCCCATGGTGGTGCCGGCCGCTCACCCAGGGAGTTCCTTGTTAGCCTACAAAACACACACGAGCACACGGATACCGTGGTGGTGTCGTCCATCGTCAAGGACTATGTGTCGTGCTGTGTGTGAAAGAGGAGGTGACTGACCTTGAGGCAGGCGCTAGCGTATGTCTTGATGGACTCCATGGCGGTGGCCACGGGGCCCTCCGCGTCCGGAGAGGATATGTCCAACTCACCCTCCTCTAAAGGCACACACCCACACACACACCCACGACACTCACGAGTGCGCCACACACATGGTTGTTGTCTCGTCTCCTCTGTGGGCCCTCCCTCCCTCCCTCGGTGGTTGTGCGAGAACCGACCAGTGGTGGTCACTACGATCTGCATCTCCTTGGCCTCCTCTGCGCACACACACGCACACACAGAGAGGTAGGTGTGTTGGGGCGCGTGTGTGGGGTGGTGTGTGTGTGTGTGTGTGGGTGACCTTTGAGGTTTGCGCAGGCCTGTTTGATGTCCTTGCACTCCTTGCCGAACTTGCACCCCTCGACCATGGCCGAGTGGCCCTCGTCCATCTGGGCGCGCAACTTGAGCAGGGTCTTGAACGGCTCGCCAGCCTCCGCAAACACCTCATCGCACTCTGACAACACGCGCACATACACATACACGTGGGTACACGTGTCGTGTGTGTGTGTGTGTGTGTGTGTTGTGCAGTGTACCCACCGGGTATTTTGGTGTCCTTCATCTGATAGTCCTCGATCTCGTCGGGGAACACCGTGTCCACCAGCTCCTTGTCCCAACTCTCGCGCACACACATGTCCTGAACACACCAGCCACACCAGCAAACCAACAACACCAACACAACACACCACAATGGATGGATCCACGCTTGCACGATTATCGACACGGGCGACATCACATCACACACACGAAGCGGTCGCGTAGGTACCATGGCGAATTTGCGGAGTTCGGTGCGTTCCTTCTTCTGAGTCCACTCGTTGCCCTCCTTTGGCTTGTACTTGCCCAACAACTCGTCAGCCTCAGCCTTGGACTTCTCAGCGTCAACTGCATTAACCACACCCAACACAACACCCACCACCACACCACACCACAAGACGCATCCATCGAATGAATGCATCCGCGAAAACGCATTTGTTTCAGTGCTTATTTCGCCCTCGGTGGTACCGTTGCCCTCGCTATCCTCGGCGCGCTTATCGCACAGTATCTGAAACGCATCCACGCCCACACACCAGGGGCAGATGACCGTCGGATGCATCCGTGGGATGGCGGCGTGTGGGCTGTGGGTCTGTGTGTGGCCTATGTGTGTGCGTCACTCACCCCCAGGGCCTCCTGGAAGTTGCTGGCCCTCTTGGGCTTGGCCTCCTTGGTTGGTAAGCAGCCCATCACGACAACACCTACGAAGAGGGAAAATGAGTGTCTGCACCGAGAGGGAAATGATATTCGGCCTACACCTCACCTCAAACTAAGAGAAAGGACGTGTACCGCCTCCCCGCGACGATCGTCACGCGTGGGGGGTGAGCTCGCCCCCCGCCGTCTCACCCTGGAGTCCTGACGCATGGGCCTGTTGACCAGCATGTTTCCATCTTCAATTGGTATCTTCCCCGCCTCTGTTCTCTGGTGGATTGTGCAGATGGACGGACCAACACTGCTCGCCGCGACAATGCAAGGGGCCTGCAGCGGTGTCTGAAGGAGCTGCTCAAGATCACTAATCTGATAATGTGCAACCAGCTGGGAGACGCTATCGAGTCCACCCACTAGGCCATCAGAGGACTCTTCCTGTGCCGGGTTCTCGAGTACAGCATGTGTGCTGCGCAGTGAGAGAATCAGGTGGCGACTCTGGTGGCTGAGGTGATCTTGAAAGACGAGCTCAGAGACAGGCGCGATGACGAAGAAATGGAGAAAGATCTGCCGCCGGTTGTCTGGCCGTCGGTGGGGATCACCGCTGCGGCAATGGGGCGGGTCGAAGGGGCCGCCAAGCCGATGCGCAAGCACCCGCTGCGGCTGGAGGCAGAGCACAGGGAGAGCGGCTCCATTCTGACGGGGGATTTCGACTGCTCGGTGCAGACGGACGGGCTGCGGGTGGGACATGTGTTCCACGGGAGAGAGAACCCCCCCTCGCAGATGGCAGAGCTGCACTCACGTGTCTGAATGTGTCTGCAGCTTGGTGCTGTGCTGGAGAGGGTGACCCGGCTTGCTGGGTATCCCGTCATCCAGGCGGCGATGATGTGAAGGGGATGACATTGGCTGACTTTGCTACACTGTCGCCCGCACCGAGACATCAGATGAGGCGAGATTTCTTCTATGGGGCGAGATTTGCGTGACGCGATTGACTGACAAAGAGATAGTGCAGTCATGTCTCTACGTGTGTCATTAATGTCATGCATCACCCTTCAAGCTACGCTCTCCCTCTTAGACGCCGGCATGGTCAATATCTCTGCCAGGCTGGGACGGTTGTCTTTGGCGGCTGGGTGTGGGGAGCACGATTCGGGGTTTGGGAAGGGTGCCGGCGGCACCAAATGCGGCCCCTCGGCAATGTAGAACGAGTTGAAGGGGAGAAATGCAGCTGAGGGGTCCTCAAACTCAAACAGTCGAACTCGCCCTGCACAGACGACACACAGCACAGCAGACAGCCAGGGAATGTGTTATGTATGGTGAGAGAGGCGCTATGACATTGTGTGGTACCGTCGTCAAGTATTGCGGCGAGTATGTCTCCGTCGCTGACGATGTCCCACATCAACTTGCCACGGTCGAGTTGCTCACTGCATACCCACACACCCACACACCCACACACATCCGTTCTCACATACGCAGAGCAAGAGCATCTCTTTCTTGGGCCACCGACCAGCAGTTGAAGAGGTTCCGGAACTTGTACTCCTGGTACAAGAACATGACGAGGGCCCCCGTGTTGTTGACGCCCACCCCGAGCCACCCCTGCCGCTTCGTCCAGTCGTTGATGGCCAGCCCGTGGGCCATCCCACGACCCTCCAGCTCTTCCAATGTGTCCTTCTGTTTCTGCTCATCCATGGCGCGCTGCACTATCTGTTCGAGACCTGTGCTCGTCCGGCTGGCACGCAGCCGCTCGCTGTCGCCCCAGCGGAACCGCAAGCCGCTCGCCGTAGTGAAGAGAGTGGGGTCGCCGCCTGTGAGAATCCCTTGGACTCGGAGACGGATTCCTTCGCGTGTGAAGCGGAAGTCCATCTGAAAGGCCGATTCGTCGTCCTTGCCGCGGCCTTGCCGTGATGATGAGCCGCTGGCGCTGCCCAGGGACCGCTGGGGGGCGGGAGGCTGCCGTGACGCTGTTGTGTCGTCATCATTTTCAGGTTCTGGCAGCCGGATGCCGCGATAGCCTCGTTTCTCGAATGGTACGGGGTAGCAATCACGGTAGACCTTGTGGCTGCTGTGCAGCTGCCTGTGCTGCCTGTGGGCGGCGACTCTTGCCATCTGCTGTCGTCGCCTGATCCCGTCTTCAGTGACAGATGCGCGAGTGTCTCTCCGTGGACCGTATGACGGCAAGTGCCGTCTTTCTCGTTTGTGTCTCATCATCACTTTCGGCCGGGGCCGCTGAAGGGTGAAAGTTGGGATGATGTCGGTGTCGCCTGATGATGTGTCGCTGTCAGACGAGCTGTCACTCTGCGGCTGCGGCTGCTGCTGCTGCTGTGGGTGGTGTGGGTGTTTCGCTGGTGCATGGGCCGGCTGTGGCTTTGGCTGCGGCTGGGTGTGTGCCAGGCCTTGTGGGATCACCATCAGCCGCACGAATGAGTGCTTGAAGTGCGTCGACGCGATCACCTTGGCGGTCACATGCTCGGCAAGATTGAGCTGGAAGAGCTTCACATCGCCCCTCTTGTAGGCGCAGAACACCCACAGAAACGAAGGCGCCGAGACTACTGCCGCCGTCACAATGGGGTCGACTATGTCGCTGTCGTCGGTGTGCGGCCCCTCAACGATGCGCGCAATGGGGCCGTCGGCTTTGCTCTTTCTCGATGTGGACCTTTTGTGCCGGCTGGCGGGGGACAGCTGCATCTCGTCAAAGAGCGTCACACATCTGACATTTGGAAAAGACGTATCACGTCTCTCTCTCTCTGTCTCTCTCTCTCTCTCTCTGTCTCTAACATTGATTCCAGCTGGTCTTCATCAGAGAAGTAGATCAGGACGGTTCCCTCCCTGCAGATGACCACATACAGGGGGCCCGTCCTCCCGACGCCCCCCATCCGCCCCTCCCCCCGCAGCCCAGCCACGTCAAACACCCCCTGGCGCACTGCATGGGATGCGCACACGGACCCCGGAGTGACTCCGCACGGCACTGCCATGAACCTGGGCACGTCTCGCCTCTCGATGCTCCACTGTAGGCGGAACACCATGGTGAACGCCCCCTGTGAAGTGGTGGGTGGGCCGATGAGGCCCATAAGGCATGTTGGGCTCAGCCAGTGGACGTGGGAGGCCTCGAATGCCGAGGGGGAGTTGTCGGATAGCTCGAACAGGATGCTTGAGACGTCCGTACCAAAGCGGTCGACGGCAGGCCCTTGTGTCGCCTCTGTGTGGAACCGCAGCTTGGTGGCGGCTTGGACCATTGGGGATTCCTCGTGCTGCTCATCGCCGTCTGTCTCGAGATACTGGGCCCTTCGCGTGACGATTGCCTCCCGCACCACCTGCCGCGTGAGTACGATGGACTGGACGGGCTGCCCCGCCTTCCAGGCCGTGAGATGGATCCTCTTGGTGCCGCCGCCCACGGGCGACTCAACCCGTGAGATGGTGGACGTTGAGGCGACGAGGAATCCGTCTGATGTGGCGTGATCGGCCACGATGGGCGGCTGGCGGACCGAGAGAGACGACATCGAGGGGAGAGACGCAAGAGCCGTCAGCTGATGGGCATGAGACACAGAGGTTTGTGTCTCGATACGGCATTCACCACACGGAACGTACCTTCTGCCCCACAGGCAATGGTTGAGAGAAGACGACAGTCTTGGCGACTGGATCGATGACCGCCATCTCCCCCATTGCGAAATTCACGACGTATTTCCCCACACCCTGCAATGATGACTGCGGCCGGACATCGATGGATGACGGCGGGGGCGATTTCTTGCCTCTAATAGCTGGCAGAGCAGTCAGCGACTGCATGCGTCTCGGGGCCGTGTTTGACGCCGATGCAGGCCGGATGGTGGATGTGCGGGGGTGTGCAGGGGGCAGAGAGGGCACGGCGAAGGCGCGTGTGATGGCCAATGAGTCAGAGGGTGTCTCCTTGCCAAAGTCGCCATAGATGACCGCAATGAACCCACGACCTGCGCAGGCGCACATAACCCACCTCCCTCTGTAGCCGACATGAATGGGTGTGAGACACGTACCTGATAGCAGCGCCCGTGTGCGCGGACTTGCACCAATGAGAGACTTTCGTGGCGTTGGTGTGCGTGGGGTCGCCGCACCCATGTCTTGTGCCGAGTGGGATCGGGAACTCATGCTGCCCTACACTTCCACAGAGAACAGGTCAATGTACTCGCTTCACTTCAGTCTGACAGCATTCTGCCTGCGCACCCGTGCCGGCGACAGCCCGCCGCTTCCCGGATCGAGGAGCGTGTCTTTCGGGATCACCTCCCCCCTCTCCCAGTACCGATCGACTGTCCACAGTGTGTAGCGGCAGATGGTCGTCTTCATCACCACCTCCGTGCGCGGGAGAGCAGGGGCGCTCTGGGACTCCTGCACGCCTGACGCAGGCGTCGACGAAGAGGACCGCCGGCCACTAGACACCTGGTCTCGCCTCTTGTCGACGCTGTGTCGCTTCCTCTCCAGGCTCTCCCTTTTCTTGGCCAGCCGGGGGATGCGGTCGACCGTAATGGGGAATGCAATGGAAATGAGGAGGCCCCTCAGCTCTTGTGGGCTGGTCACGGTGACCCTGAAGGCGAGTGCTCCTGGGGTGGGGGCCATGACGGTCCGGTGCGGCTCCACCAGCATGCTGCTGCCGTAGCCGAAGGGGATGGGCTGATCCACACGGAGGTAGGAGCCCAGGCTGGACCCGTGGCGGCCGCCAAGTGACGGCGGCAGCACTAGGGAGAGCAGGTGTCTCGCCGTCTTGAGGGAGTGCGTCTGCCATGACCGCCGCTGAATCGAGTGGATTTTGCGGAAGACGGTTGTGTCGATAGGGGGTGACTGGAGAGTGGGGTTGATCACCAGACGGCACGGGGGCAGCGCACGGACGAGCTTCATGTCCTCCACTTCCTGTGAGAGCAGTATGCCAATCTGACGGAGACACAGGTAGCGGAAAAACATGTGTGATGTTCATCCAATGGAGCTCTCTGTCCACAACTGTGTTCGGACCAAACCAAATTCGGTTCTAAAGAGCCCCAATTCGCTGCCGGCCTTCTCACTCTTCAGATGTCGATGTCCTCGCCGACGGTATGAATGCAGAATTTGCCCCTGCCGGCCGATGACTACACATGTGCTGTACAGGGCCATGCCGCCGTCCTCGTCCTCAATCGACTCGGGCACACTGCCCAACACCATATAAATCTGCAAGAAGAGACGACAGCTCGTGAATGAGATCAACAGTGCAGGTCTCTTTTGTCCTCTGACCGCCTTCTGTTGTGCGAACCGCGCCATCATGCGGATGGGGGGATTGTCGATGGAGATGGGCGACATGCCCTTCTCCATGGCCTGGGGCAGCACCAGGCAGTTCTCCGGCAGCACCAGCATGTCACAATCGGACAGTGGAACGCTTCCCAGCACCTCCATCCACCCCTGGTACGTCATCTGCCGGTGCTGGCAGATCAGAATACGCATGGTCGGAGATATGATAGGACGGAGAGGGTAGAGTACTCAAGTCAAGGACGTTGCGCGGGGCGGGGGGAGGGAAAGGGCAAAGTCGAGACTGGGTGCTGTTTCTGAGTGGTACGAAAAGCATACCGACACCTTATATTAGTTCGTCTGTTCACTTCCCATTCACGCACACATCGGTAACTTACCTACACGTGCCATGCAAGGAACCTTCTGGCTCCCATCGCGAGCCAGGCAGAGCTAAGGCAACACACGCAGCACAGACCGCGCACAAACAAAAAGACATTCACACACACGGGTATGCGCAGGCATGCGTCGATCTGTGTGTCTCTTGCACACTTCTCGAAAAGTGCATGCCTGTCATCCAGTGACAACACATATACAAGTGAGAGGCGACCATGCCCGCAAATCAAAAGTCACGCACGAACAACCCAAGACCTCATCGACGGCCAGTAGACAGACACACGCGCACAAGAGAATACCATCACGAAAACACACATCTGACTCTCTCATACTGGGCGTCTCGTCGTGGCCTTCAGGACTGACTACTCTTGAGTCTCCGTCTGCTGTTGGGGGCGCACGCACACGTATGATATCCCATTTTTCTGGCCGGGGACCATAGCCAGACCCGGCGGGAAGATGTCCTTCTTGAACCCGCGGGCCCTCAACACATGCCTGAGTACGGCAACACAGCGGGGACTTACGGACATCCTCTGCCTCGTGTCTGCTTCTCGCCGGCTTGCCTGTATTCCTGAAGGATGGCGCACGGCCAACACCACAAGAGGAGACAGCAGTCGCCACAACTGTCGCCCGCCTCGATGTCGTAATGCCTGCATGACGGACGGACGATACAATCAGCACACACACACCCGCTGATTGGTCATTCTACGCCAAAGCATCTGGATGCTTTCTGTCACTGACCTGCGAAGCTTGGTGCGGTAGACAAGACTGAGAACAAACAACACGATGATGATGGCCAACAGGGGCAAGAGCCACACAGGGTTTTGCTCCGCATGATATCCGAAATGCCACAAACCATCTTGGCCCATGTGGCTGTAGAAAGAGGAGTTGGGGTGTTGTGTGGTCGACCAGATGTTGATGGCAGTGTAGGCCAGACTAAGGCCGCCGAACATCAACACAGCCACGCGGAACGACAGAATCTTCACCTGCCCCAGTGGCCACGCCTGTGAGTGCACAGACAGCCACCAAATGGAGAGAGGGGAGTGAGATTTCCTTCCGCATTCAGCTCACCTTGAGGTACCCCAAAATGGGCAAGAAATAGAAGATCCCCAGGATCCCCAGGAGGCAGCTTGGCCAGTCGGAAAAACAGCTAAACAGGCCGTCGCTCCAGCTACCTGGATGCAACACGCACACAACCGCACACAATCGCAATGCAATGTTGTCTTGACCTGCAGTGTTCACCTCGCCATATGTTGTCTCCCACCGGCAGCGCTGCTGGCGCTACCGAAGGCATCGGGTGCTGTTGGGCAGAACCTGCTGGCGCCTCGGCGTCCCCAGCAGAGGTCTCGGCGCGACACCGTCGCATCCTTCCACCAGTGCTCAAACCCACAGCAACCTTGTGCCGTGACAGACACCTGGGAGAGAGGGAGAGGCGGTCGATCCGCGACAGATCTCTCCACGGAAAACCCACTATTGCTTTCACGGCTATCTCTCACTGCTACTCGTCCACATTCATGAGTTCCAGCGTGATGAGTGGGGTTTGTGCAGAATCAGAATCTGATGAACCAAGCCATTCATCGCACCCTGACGTCAGCCAACGAAAACGAACTTATGCCCATCGATGCAAGCCAACAACTCGGTACGGAAGAGAAAAACATAGTACCGCGCACACCTCGGCAACTTACCTACAGGTGCCATGCAAAAATGCTCACTAGAAGGGTTAAGAAAACGCTGGCTCCATTGCGCGCCAGGCAGAGCAAAGCCGACACATGTACCATGGGATCTCGCAGACACAGCAAGCAAGACAGGCAGACATTTACACACACGGGAATACGCAGCCATGCGTCGATCTGTGTGGCTCTTGCGCACATCTCGAAAAGCATGCCTGTGTCCATCCATTATCAGTGACGGCACATATGCATGTGAGAGGCGACCATGCCCCCCCGTCGAAAAACACTGCACGAGAAATTCGACAGCCCATAGATGGCCAGTAAAAGTAGACAGATATACGCGCAGAAGAGAACACCATGACAATAAAACACACCTGACGCACTCACACGTATAACAGCCATGCATGCCCAGCCGTCTCATCGTGGCCTTCAGGACTGACTACACTTGAGTCTCTGTCTGTTGCTGGGGGCGCGCCCACACGTATGCCATCCCATTGTGATACTGAACCGGAGCCATGACCCGAGGGAAGATGTCCTTCTTGAATCCACAGGCCCTCAACACATGCCTGAACAATAAGACAGAAGCACACTTACGGACGGCCTGAGCATTACTGTGTCGGCATTTCGCTGGCTTGCCTGTATTCCTGGCAGATGGAGCACGGCAAGCAGAACAAGACGAGAAGGGCGTCGGCTGTGGCGTCGGCACAGCCGTCGCCCGCCTCGATGTCGTAATGCCTACATGACGGACACACGAAACAACCAGCACATACACACACCCGCTGATTGGTCATTTCGGGCCCACTATGTGACTGACCTGCGAAGCTTGGTGCGGTAGACAAGACTGAGAACAGCCAGCAGGATGATGATGGCCAACATGGGCAAGAGCCACACGAAGTTGAGCTCCGCGCGATATCCGTAGCCCCAGGAGCTTCCATCTGGGCTTCGGTAGGCGTAGCTGGACGAGCTGATGGGGTGCGTGATCATCCAGATGGGGAAGAAAATGGCTGCCACGCCAAGGCAGCCGAACACCATCACGAACAGAAACACACCAACGCGGGACGACAGAACCTTCACCTGCGCCAGTGGCCACGCCTGTTAGTGCAGAGCAGAACCAGCCACCAGATGGAGAAAGAGAATGAGAAAGAAGTCTTTGGCACCTGTCTTTCGCATTCAGCTCACCTTGAGGCAGCCCAAGATGGGCAAACAAACTGTCCCCAGGGTGCCAAGGAGGCAGCTGGGCAGGTCGGAGAAACAGCCGCACAGGCCGTCACTCCAGCGACCTGCATGCCACACACACAACCGCCCGCCCGCACACAGAATGTCATCTTCGCTTTCTGCGCTTCCGGTGCGGTGAGCTGCAGTTCACCTCGCCATATGTTATCTCCCCCCGGCTCCGCTGTTTGCGGCGGTCCCGCCACTACCACAGGCATCGGCAGCGCGGCTGGCTGTCCCACTACTAGTGGCATTGGCTGCTGCGGCTGGGTAGGATCTGCAGCTGGTGCCATACCGTCCTTCCCACTCAAACCCACAACACACGCCGTTAACAGAGAGGGAGTAGATCTCAAGGGTTTGAGGCTTCCGATCCGCGACAGATCTCTCCTTCGTGGCTCTCTTCTCTCCGCGACAGATCTCTCCTAAACCCTAAACCCTACATCTCTCCTTCGGAGTCCTCTTCTCTATCTCTTAAGTTTCACGAGAACCCCACTCTAAAGCAAACCCTAAACCGCCGAGAATCGGAGACGGGGAAAAACGCAATTCACAGCTTTTTCGTGTTTTCACTCCCATTCGTGCTTGCGCTTCCCCCTTATTGCAGTCCATGGCGATTGGTTCGACACACTTCGACACGGCAGCAAAGCCTGGATGGCGCGTCGCCGGCCGTTCCCGTGTGCGTATATCACTGCACCGTAGTCTGTTCCCGGCCCTGCGGAATTCCATGCAGGGCGCGATGGGTACGCTTATGTGCGGCTTCAAACCATTCAATGACATCGCGCCGTGTCTGCGGGTCTGTACCCCAGAGCAGCTTCGATTCGAAGACTGCCGCCATCGCTCTCTTAAGAGTATCGGAAGTACGTATAAACGAACAGACAGACAGACAGACAGACAGACAGACACGCGCACTCCGTCTGTCCCTCCCTGAATTCTAGTTGAGACTGAGCATCATCGTGGAGATGCGGACGACCACCAGCGGGGTGACACAGAGGGGCTGGAGGACACTCGGCTGCAGGAGAAAGTCAAGAGAATCGTCGGGCGGCTCACATCAGAGACAGAGGTCACGCACAAGAGACGAACAGACGAGATAGGTATGAGTCCTGTCTGTCTGCTCTGCAGTCTCTTGGCGTACGAAGTGCCGCCGAGAGCTGCCTGCAGCACCTAAACCTCCCATTCTGCACACATCATGCCGAAAAAAATAGCGACACATTTCGATGGATGGATTGGTGCATCTGTGGGTGTTCGCAGTTGATGGTCTTGAAGTTCTTTCCGGCCGACATGTTGCACAAGTTGACCGTCACGGTGAGTCTGAGAGATCCCGGGAGGATGGATGGATGGATGGATAGACGGCCGGCCAGCCGGCAGCTCTCTCTCTCCCTTGTGTGTGTGTGTGTGTGCAGAGGAGTATGTACGGCCATCAGGACTTCGGGTACATACACCCTGACGAGAGCCTCCCGGGGCTGCTCGAGTATGACTGTGCGCTGGTTCACGGGGCGAATCAGACCTTCATCCTGCCGTTTGCAGAGGAGTAAGCGGACAGAGGGGACACGGCCCATCGACCTGAGTGCATTTCTGTTGTGTTGGTCTCTCTCGACAGCACGGCGCTCGACTTGAGGGTCATCGATCGGCGCTCACGAGGTGTCTCCTTCGACTTTGCAAGTGTGTATGTTTGTGGCCGCACTCATTTGTGTGTGTGACAGTGCAAGTGGCGGTGCAGCCGGCCAGTGGGGGATGTCAGTGGTGGGGTGGCGCTCGGGTACAAGGGGGTAGACAACACGGGCAAGAACGTGATCATCTTCCGGTACACTCACCATTCCACCATCAAGCTGCCCGATGCCGAGCTGTCTTCACAGAGGAAGATCCAGGTAGAGAGAGGCGAGGGGCTGTCTGTCTGTCTGGATGGATGGATGGATGGGGTTCAGAGTGATACCGAGGTTGAGGTGTGGCGGCGGCTGGCTGAGTGCAATAGCGTGCTGCCCATCGTCAAGTGCATCTGTACCAACCGTCTGATATCAACCGTCTGAGCATCTGCTGTGTGCAGATAGTGCACGACAAGCCAAACCGGCGGGATGTGCGACTATGAGTGTCGGAAGCTCATACCCTTGGAGCTGTCAGTCTTCGACTACGTGCCCGGCGCCGCACGCAAGACCTTCGTGCAGCTGCCCAGGAGTTCAGGCAGATCACCGCGACGCCGATGAAGTGAGTCATATGTGGATCCATTCATTTATCCCTCCATTTCTGTCCCTTTTCCGCAGAGCTGGGCCGTGCGGTGGTATCCAAGGCCTCAGGAGCTGCTGCTGCTGCAGGAGCTGGCCATGGTGCCGAGCTGGCCATGCGGCCGCTGGCCATGGCAATCTGGGTGGCGGCCGCAAGCGGTACGCTGGCATAGACAGACACACACATATACACACACAGCCACAGCCAAAGCCAAGCACCTGATGGACTGTGTTACGTGAACAGCTGCAGGGATGCGCCACGCCCGAGGAAGAAAAAAGCGAGTCGGACACAGAGCACCTGCGCGCGCGGAAGAAGCGCAAGCAGGACCAGAACCACCAACCGCGCCCGACGCAGGCAATGAGGAAGACAAGATATACGACCTGCGTATGAGCAGGTGACCAAAACAAGGGCAAGCAAAGCATTGCAGTGGATGGCGAACGCGCTTTGGCGTTTCGTGCAGGTCAAGGTCAGGCACCTGTGTGCTGCGCCAAACGTCGAGCTGAGGCAGGCGTGCGTCGCCTATTGCAACTTGATACCAGGTGCGTGCATAACATAAACCACACGCACATGTACATGCGCACACACACAAATGCGTCGGCTTTTTGCTCTTGTGCTTCAGGGTCGCAGCAGCTCCCATTGATGACCCAAGCCCTCCAGCCAGGTTGGCACAATGATATGTTACGCTCATCTGCCCACCACCCAGACGCACCCTCTCTGTGCTGTCATCATTCGTTTCAGCCCCCGTTTCCACCAGATGTGTAGACCGGCGTGGTGGCGCCCGACTGCGCTGCTGTGACGTCCCGTCAGATTGCCCCGCCCCCCCACCGCCACCGCCACGTCGACGTGCTGCCCCTCCCTCCCTCTCTCTCAGCCTCGAGGCAGCCGCAGCCGAGGAGCACACGGACGCATCTGACCCGCCGGCCCCGCCCGCCCCCACACGACGCTCACTGCCAGGCGAGAGCCTACTCAGCGGGGGGGACAGTGAGGATGCTCCGCCGCGCGTTTCCTCGGCCGGGGGCGCCGAGAGGCCGAAGCAAGGCCAAGCTGAGTCTGGTGGCGGCTATGGACTCATATCAACCAGATGAGGCAGGTAGGATGAGTAGATGGATAGAGAGACAGCCAGGAGGGGTACATTCATTGTGCTGATGTCTTCCTTGTTTCAGCTGATGTTGTTGACCAGGGGGCGGCGCCGAGTCAGGATGACGAGGGCAAGCTGCAGCAGGGCGACAGCGGCATGAGGGCGGATTCGGTTGGCGGTGAAGCGGGCGAGAGTGGCGGTGACGCGCCCGAGAGCCAGCTACTTGTTGCGAGCCGGCCGAACAACGGGCTGGTGGCGATTGCTGTCGACCTGCGGCACGTGGCGCAGAAGCGAAGCGCGTAAGTATGGATGGGATGGGAAGGGAGAGGGAGAGAAGGGAGAGGGAGAGAGCGAACATACTCATCTCTATCTATGTGTCGCTTGTTGCTTGTTGCTTGTTGCTTGTATTGCATCCATCAGAGTCGAGGAAACAAGAATGTCATTGTCAATCGCTGCTTACATTTTATATTCGCTGGCTCTTCGATCAATGCAATACGCAGCGCCTCCAATCGAGGGATGGAAGCCACTTGAGCAGGTGCCCTCACATGGTCGATGTCAATAACCGAGGTACTGATGTATGTGTATGTTGGCTGCAGGTCGGAGTGCACGCCCGTCGTTCCGCATCTTCGAGACACTCGGCACACCGACTGCCATATCACACCAAGGCGAGAGACAGGCGAGAAGTACTTGCCAGCAGTGCGGCGGCGGCAGCGGGAGGGAGGAGACTGACCTGAGTAAGCAGATACACATGCACACATACACAATCATCCTTCTCTGTGTGTGTCTGCTCTTCGGGAGGAACGTCGTACGGATCTATGATTTGGGCATGGCCTCGATTTCTACAGACGCAGCACAGAAGAGCTTGAGACGAAAGTCGCCAGATTAGAGCTGGACAAGGTACGCATGGATGGGGACGGCCACACTAATTTATAAGGGGACTCCTCATAGGGAGCAAGGATGCCGCGCATGACACAGAGGTACTGTGTGCTGAGGGCGATATCGGCGTCTGTGGTGACACATTCCTGTCGTTGCCTGTCTGTCCATCTGTCAGTTTCTCAAGTCGGCTGCGGTCACCCATGTGTGCAACCTGGCGGCAGGGGACACGTCGGGTGGCGATTATGTGTGCAAGTCGAGGGGCGACCTGCCGCACGTGACCTTCTATGACGTCAAAGATATGAAGGTGGGCGGACAAACACCACTCATACACATATACACACAACAAACATACACACACACGCACGCAGAAGGACATATACACGCAGAACCGAGGCTCCGCCAGTGCCGCTGCCGCTGCCGCCGCGGCTCCTGCTGTGGACGATGGGCAGGGCAGGAACCTATTCGACATCGCTGCACACATGCACACTTAGATGGCGCCTTTCTGCTCGCCTTCCTGGATGTCTCATTCATCCATCTGCGTGGGTGCTGCCTGCCTGCCTGGTGCAGATACGCGAGTACCGGTCCACAACATCGGCCTGACTGAAGCGGGCAGACAGTGGTGTAGCCAATTGGGTGTAGCAAGATGGCTGAAGGTGCGTGTGCAGCCAGGCAGCCACTCATAGTGTGTTTCCTCCTCACCCTACTCTGTATGTCTTCCTCCGTCAGGTGCTGCCTCCGCCCCCGCCCCCTCGTGGTGGACTGCCCATGAAGTTCTTTGCGGACATGGACGAGATGGCTGAGGAGACTGACCTGAGTAAGCAGATACGCAAACACACTCGGTCACACAGACATACCTCTCATCTGCCGACGCGAGTTGGCTGTCTGCCTCTCTGTCTGTCTGTCTGTTTGTCTGGCAGTTCCTCCTCCACTCCCCCCGCCCTCGGCTCCACACGGACGTCGTATGCGTTTGGACCTGTTGGCTGACACAAATAACTATACACGAGAGGATGCTGCTGCTGGTATGCAAACGCACGCACACGCAAGGACACACAGATAGACAGCCAAACTGACCCCGCCTGTCCCCCTTGAGTCGCCTCAAGCGCGAGCCCCTCGCCGTCGCCTCGGCTACTTGGGCGAGCCGCTCCTCCGAGACGCAGAGGAAGACATGGAGATCGATGACGGTGAGTAAGTGTGCAAGGAGGGACGTCCGCATCCAACCAACTACAATGCACGCACGGGAATCCATCTTAGACTACGCCTCTCTCCCTCTTGCGCAGGCGCAGCTGCTGCTGGTGGCCAGGGTGGCAGGGCAGTGCGTGACGGCGAGGCGATGGGCGAGGGCGGCGTGGACATGCCTCCCATGGGCAGGGACCCATGGGCGGCGGATGACAAGACCGGTACGTTCACGTACCCACTTAACATATGACACAACAGGCAGCCAATGGAGCCTCTTGTCCCTCTGATTATTGGCCGTGTGTGTGTGCAGTTGCTGATCGCATGTTGCACGCGCCGCTGCGTTACCCGCGCGAGCACTTGGGGCTCCTTGGCGTTGAGAGAGATATGGATTACGGCATGCACGATGAGGAACCTCCCCTCGGTGAGCACATGCACTCACACGTCCAGCAGCCATACACAGACAGAGAAACGGCCCCCTCTTTGCTGACTCTTGTTGTTTGTCTCCTCTCGGTGCCTCCCCCGCCCCCGGCCCCACGCGGCCGTCGTGTGGACATGTTGGCCGATATGGAGGAGCTTGCCGCTTTGTGATCATTTACCTTATGCGGCATTGCATGGACGGCACTGGGACCAGCCAAAAGTCATTAGTTGTCCAGCATGTTCGAAGTGAGGAAGCCTGGCCTGCCCGTGCCGCAGGAGTTCATTCTTAACAGTGATGATGACCGACGCGCCGACAGAAGGGCTGTTATGTTATCTTCCCACGTCAGGACAGCACATACACGACACAGGGAGGCTCATCTCTTCGCATGCATGTGTATCTGTGTGTATGCTCGACTTCAGAAATACAATTCTGCTTCCGCGGCGTCAACAACGGCCTCCTCGTCTGGAACTACACGGGCCTCGACCAGACAGGAGGTACAAAGGCATGCATCCGCCCAATGGCATGCATACAATTGTTCTGCTCCTATCGTGCAGGTGTGCAGCGCTACGGTCTGTCCACTTCCATCACCGACGGTCCGGGCGTGGCGGCCGAGCTGGTGCCGCCACGACCATACCCCACTGAGAGTGCGCCGCGGTCGTCGATCGGCTTCGTGCCGGCCACGGCGGTGGGGCGGCTGGAGATAAGAGAGCTGGAACAATACCGCACACACACAGGTGAAGGAAGGAGGGAAGAACGGAGTGAGGAAGGGAGGGTCGGAGGATCTCTTCGCTAGAGCGATTTGTGTGCATGTCTGTGTCTGTAGACGAGGAACCCTCGGTGATCAAAGCGCACCAGGTGAGATGACGGCCAGCAAACAACACATGAATATCCACACCCGAATGCGCACTTGTTTTTGTGTCTGACGCCGCTGTTTGTTAAGGAGCGAGGCCGCGTGTACGAGTGGGACTACGAGCGTCAGAAGGTGCTGCCCCTGGAGCTGTCAGTGTTCGACTACGTGCCCGGCGCCGCACGCAAGACCTTCGTGCAGCTGCCCAGGCAGACTCGCCAACGTCTTCTCGAGGAGGTACGGATTCGGTTGGCGGTGAAGCGGGCGAGAGTGGCGGTGACGCGCCCGAGAGCCAGCTACTTGTTGCGAGCCGGCCGAACAACGGGCTGGTGGCGATTGGTGTCGACCTGCGGCACGTGGCGCAGAAGCGAAGCGCGTAAGGATGGATGGGATGGGAAGGGAGAGGGAGAGAAGGGAGAGGGAGAGAGCGAACATACTCATCTCTATCTATGTCTGGCTTGTTGCTTGTTGCTTGTGTTCCACCATCAGCGTCGAGGAAACAGGAATGGCATTGTCAATCGCTGCTTACATTTTATATTCGCTGGCCCTTCGATCAATTGCAATGCAATACGCACCGCCTCTAATTGAGGAGGGAAGCCACTTGAGCAGGTGCCCGCACACGGTCGCTGCGAACAATCGTGTTAGCTGGTTGCTGAACGTGCAACTGTTGTGCGTCTATTGCTGCCTACATTTTATATTCTGAGGCATTTCGTTTGACTTGCTTAGTGTCTTCGGTCGAAAACTTGGGAGGGACGCATTATACATGCCTTGTTAGTGTCACATCACGGCCAGTGCACCTTTACCAACCAATCAACCAGTCAATCACTCATCCACTCATCACTGCAAGGAGGTTTAGAAGTGAATCATTCAATCATTCGTTCACTCACTCACTCACTCACTGAAAGAAGAGTCTGTTTTCTGTGAGAACGTGTTCTCATCGTGCTGCCACGCCCATCGATGAGATGTCACGCCCGTCTTTGCACCGGAGAGATGTCTGTCGGCCTCAGCGAGTTGTCTGGAGCTCGAGAAAGCTGGACTATATGGCTGTTTGCAATGACAGTCAACGCACAAGAAACGAGGGAACTCCTCCGGTCCTTCTGCTTGCCCAAGACCGCCGTTTTTTACCGTTTTTGCGTCAGCTTCCCGCCCGGAAAGCTGGATTTCTGCACTGCAAAGCTGGCTTTCCGTGGCGCTGGCTGGCTTTCTGAGTGGAGGGCCCACTTGCATTTTCGCCGCACCTCGTGCTTAAAAGATCATTTACCCCGGGCCGATTAATTTTCAGGAAAGTTTTCTCTAAAGCAAAATCAGAGTTGGAGTCTGTGAGCATGTCGTGGACATGCAAGTGACCAGCATGTTCCACATCACAAAGACCGGCCCCCCGGTGCCGCAGGACTTCATCAACGAGGACCGAGGCGCCAGCAAGGGGTGCTACGGCATCTTCCCACGTAAGAAGTCACATGTACGACGCATGGAGGCTCACCTCTTCGCATGCTCGTTCGCATTCATGTGTTGATGCGTGCGTATGTGTGTGTTCGGTTTCAGAGGTTGAGACCTGTTTCCGTGGCGTCGACAATGGCGTCCTGTTCTGGAACTACACGGGCCTCCAGCCGACAGGAGGTAGAAAGGCATGCATCCGCCCAATGGCATGCATACACTTGTTCTGCTCCTATCGTGCAGGTGTGCAGTACTACGCCCTGTCGGAGTCCGTTGCCGACGGCCCGGTGTTGGCGGCCGACCTGGTGCGACCGAAGGCCTCCTTCCAGCGGCAGTGGCAGGGCGAGGACTGGATCCTCGTCGCCGCCACGGCGCATTGGCTGACTTTCCACCACCTGCGCGTCATCATGGTCTACCCCGACGAGAGTGCGCCGCGGTCATCGGTCGGCTACGCGCCGCCCAAGGTGGTGGGGCGGCTGGACATCAGAGAGCTCGACCAGTATCGGATCCGCACAGGTGAATCTGGGAGGGAGGGGAGGGAGGGAGATGTGGGAGGAACTGTTCGCTGTATCTGCAGACAAGGAAGACACATACACAGTAGTCAAGGCGCACCAGGCGAGCGGGCGCGTGTTTGTCGGAGGTAAGAGAGAGGAACGGCCAGCAAACAGCACATGCACATTCACACACGGGGTGTGCGACTTGTTCTCGTGTCTGGTTCTCCCTAGGTGATCGGGGTCGCGTGTACGAGTGCGACTATGAGCGGCAGAAGCTGGTGCCCCTGGAGCTGTCACTGCTCGACTACACGCCCCGCGCCGCACGGAAGACCTTCGTGCAGCTGGGCCAGCTCGCCAATGTCTTCTATCAGGAGGTCAGGCAGATGGCCGTGGACGAGGCCCGAGGGCTGCTCTATGTGCTCACGGCCGACTCGTGGATACGGGTGTTCCACATCCCGCCCCACGCCCCCTCCACCATCGCATACGAGCGCGACGCCAGCATCCCCTATGTCGACCCGCCACGTGCGCAAGGGACTGTTGCGAAACCGCCGGCACCTGTGTTGTCAGGTGGGTGGGGACAGACAGATGGACGTGCATACGTGAGGTGATGGATGAGATTCTTTGCCTTTGTGTGTCTGTGTCTGTGTGCATATCAGTGACGGTGTCGCCTGACTCTGTTGACGATCGTGTGATGACACTGCGGACCCACCGTGACGTGGCTGCGCTCAACCGACAGGACGGGCAGACCACACACAGCAGGAGGTCCGTCCTACCGGTAAGCAGTGACTCGTCAAGTGCGTGTGCCTGCCTGCCTATATGTGTGTGTGTGCGTGTGTGCGTGTGTGCGCGCAGATAGTGCACGTGGAGCCGCTGCCGCCCACTGCAGGGGGGAGTCCCCTCTTCTTGGCCGTCACACACGATGGTCAGTCAGCACGCCAGCATTTTGCCAAGCGCGTCTCACCTTTGGTCTCTGTTCCTGCCTTCCCTCAGGCCACCGTCTGTTCTTCACGGGCCAGTTTGGCTCTTCACCCTTCACACCCATCCAGATCGGCAAACCAAACCCGCCCACACCGGCCATGTCAGCACAATGCACACACACACACATACATACACATACACACACACACACACACACATGTCGTGTGCGTAATGCTTCAGTCGTTATGAGGGCCCCGTGAGTGTGGAGCTGTCCAAGATCCACCTACCCCCCATGGACTCATCCATCAAAGTCAAAGACGTCTTCTACGCAAAGGTCACACACAGACAGACAGACACGGAGACGAGGAATCCCATGCAGCAGACTCCCGACTGCCCCTCCCTCCCTCCCTCCCTCCCTCTCTCCCTCCCCTTGTTTCAGGGATCTTCTCTCATAGTGTCCGAGTGCCCGCCATCCGCGTCAATCACAGCAGCCGCTGCGGCCGCCCAGCTGTCACCCCAGCAGCCCCTCGCCCCACCCCCCAGCCTGTCCGGGCAGCAGGGCCCCTCCCCGTTCGCCCAGCAGCCGCACAAGCCGCCGCACCGCACCGTCATGCCGCAGCTCCAGGGCCAGCAAGGCGGCCAGCAGATGCAGCAGCAGCGGCCGGCATTGCCACCGCTCTCCCCGTCGGGCGGCAGCGACCGCGATCGGCAGGCCACGGGCGAGAGGAAGAAGAGGAAGCGCAAGGGACCCCGCCTCGCCATTCAGACTGACGATCTAGACGGTAATGTGCAGGCCACTTCTTGGATACTCGTCGGATCGGTGTGATCCCTCAATGTGTGTCTGTGTTTGCTCGCAGCCAACGAGGACAAGAAGGCCCCGGGCGTCGGCACTGAGGCGCCGCCCGGGACGATCTGCATCCCCGGCCGCGGCAAGTTGACCGTCAGCAACATCAAATATGCGCAGGACGCCAGGGTGAGTGAACCCTCAAAGCCTCTATGCTATACATGTGACCATTGTGCACATTCATGTGTTGACATTGTGTGTGTGCAGACGGTCGCCGCTCTCGCCCCCACCCACATGCTCAACCTGGTAGCCGACCGCTTCGATGTCGTCAGTGATGACGAGCTGAAGCGGGCCGGCTGGGACCGGACATGGATGCCGGATCGCAAGAGCATCATGGGCTTCATGGTGATGACGGATGGCACCCATGACACGTGTCTGCATTCACGTCCTGTTCTCCTCTTGTCAATCAGGACACGATTGAGTTTGTGAGGGACGAGTCGCGGCGTTTCGGGTCTATCATCGATGAGGCGATGGAGTGGGTGGTTGGGACGGTGTTTAGCACCGACAACGGCGAGCCTCACCTCCTGGTCAATTGCGAGAAGGGTACGTCGACGTCACACACACACACACACACACACACGCGCAGAGAGAGACATACAGAGAGAGAGAGAGAGAGAGACTTGGCTCATCCATGTGTTCAGGGGTGTCGCGATCTGCCGCCATTGCCATCCTCACGTACGCCTGGTTCAACGTCGCTGAGCTGGCCAGCGCCCCGCCGCCCGAGCGCCACCCTGTGGAGGAGGACAAGATCTACGAGCTCGCATACAACCAGGTGAGGTCAAGACGGGGAATGGATCGAAGGCCAAAGGAATGGATGGGCTGTGGTCGTGCATGCAGGTCAAGGCCCAACGCCAGTGTGCCGCGCCGAATATTCAGCTCCGGCAGACGTGCATCACGTATTGCAACAGTATGAAAGGTGCGTCCGCAACACAACCTACGCACACGCACACACACACACACACACATTGATCCAGCTGCTTTTTGCTGCATCCGCTGGTCTTCAGACTCAGATCAGCTGCCGTCGATGGCCAAGCTCCTCCATGGTGGGCGTGCGTGTGACCAGTTCATCCACATCTTTGATATATGGTTGTCGTTCGCTTCAGGCCCATCCTCAACGAAGTGCGCCGACAGGCGGCGGCCGATCCGCCCAGCCCTGCTGCTGCCCGACCACGACAGTGTCGAGTCACCCCGCCGCCCAGGGGGAGCTGGGAAGGGCACGGCCATCCAGCTCAGCCTGGACGAGCCCATGGACGCATGTCACCCCGAAGAGACAGGTACATGTATGTACTAGCAAAAAGGACAGACAGATAGACGCTCTGCTAGACTCTTGCCTGGTTGTCTTGGCTGTTCCATCTCAGATGACATGCCCAGCCCACCGCCACCGCCACCGCCACGTCGGCGTGCCGCCCCTTTCTCCCTCGCCCTGAGCCTAGAGGCAGCCGCAGCAGAGGAGGAGACCGACCGCTCTGACCCGCTGGCCCCCCGAACCCCCACAAGACGCCTACTGCAAGGCGAGAACGACCTTAGTGCGGGGGGCGACGGTGACGATGCTCCGCCCTGCCCACCTCCTCCAAGGCGCCGAGAGGCCAAGCTGAGTCTGGAGGCGGCGATGGATGCATATGAACCAGACGACACAGGTAGGAGCGACGGACAGCCAGACAGGAGGGATGCATTCATTGTGCTGATGTGTTCCGTTTGTTTCGTCTCAGCTGAGGCCGGTGACCAGGGGGCGGCGCCGAGCCTAGTTGACGAGGGCCACCTGCAGCAGGGTGACAGCGTGGATTTGATTGGCGGTGTGGGCGAGAGGGGCAGTCTTGCAGCCGAGACCCAGCTCCCCGTTGCGAGCCGGCCCAACAACGGGCTGGTGGGGATTGCTGTCGACGTGAGGCACATGGCGCAGAACCGAAACGCGTAAGTATGGGACAGAGGGAGAGCCACACGCGACATCCCGACGCTATGTGTTGGTCGTTGGCTGTTGGTTGTGGTGCGTCGATCCATCTGCCAGTGGCTTGGTCACCGGTCGCGTGTCGGACAGCGACCATTTGCAGGAGGCATCAGACCTCATGGACGCCACGCAGAAGGGCATCGCACCACTCGACGCAGGATGGTCAGACACCCACAACCACACCCGCAACCACACCCCCTCTCTCCCTCACCCACGCTTGTGTCCATTCTGTTTCTCTCAGGGAGGTGTTGGCCGGCTCGGTGGTCGTCCCAGCGACCGAGTGCATCAGCTATGAGCTTCCTCACATAGCCAGCCTCTACTCATGGGCGCCCATGTACCTTGACCAGTACAACACCACTCGGCGGCTGGAGTTCCACCCCCGCCCCCCCGGCAGCGTCCAGCAGCAGCCCCGCTCAGGCACGCCATTTGCCGCCAGCATGACCCGAGTACCAGGCGCACTGATTGCCCTCCCTGACATTGCGACCGAGCAGTTGTTGCCGCCCACCTCATTCGTCATTCTGTCGAACAGCGAGGTGCTGCACGTGACCAAGACGAGGCCGATCGACCAGCTGGCGCACCTGATGGTCAGCGTGAGTCTGGAGCCGCCCGCTGCGGCCACTGACCAGGACACCGTGTACGGGCCGCCGATGCAGCAGGACTTCCAGCAGTTCTACAACACCCACTCGCCCGAGCAGACGTGCGCCATGCTCTGGCAGCTGCTGTGCGAGTGGCACCGGTCGGCCACAGACACGGGCCTCCTGTGCGCGCCTTCCCGCTCGCCACACACGGCTTCGGTTTGCCGGGGGCTTCAGTATGTGTCGCCGCTGACGTACGTGAGCGTCCCTGGCGTGAGCGGGCTGGACGGGGGTGCGGACCAGAGGGTGCTGGAGGTGCTGAGGCGGAACCTGATGACGGCGCTCCTGTCTTCCGCATATCGCATGTTCCACCAATCCACAGGTCAGTCAGGAACCTGTCGCGCAGAGAGGTTGGTGAATGTCTCCCTCCGTCTCTCCCTCCCCCATGTGTATGTCTGCAGGCCGTGGTCGTGACGACAAGTCCCCAGCAGGCGTGCTGGACATGGGTCAGGGCACCTACTCGGCGCGGCTCAAGGGCCTCTACATCTACGCCTCTGCGCTGCTGCGGGCGATATGGGACGCCCCCCTCTTCCAGGTGGCCAAGGAGGGCGCCATGGGCATAAGAATGCAGCCACTCGATCAGTCTGGTAAACAAACAGCACAATGGAGAAACGCGGCTATCACGCCAGATGTTGTGGACTCCTATTGTGTGCAGATACGGAGTGGGAGAGATTCTGGGGCGCCACGTTCAAGAAGAGGCGGCGGACGGTCGGCTGGCTGGGTGGCATCAGGCAAGGCGAGCAAGACGGCATGGTGGAGGGCCGGTTCCTCCCCTCCCTCACCCCCACCTTCACACCACCCCAGAGGCAGCACCTCCAGGCACAGCTCACCAACCTCGCCACTGTGAGTGAGGGACGGGCAGACAGACAAACACCACAAACACACACACACACACACCGCCCACATACCCGCCAGCCATGCCCCCATGATTCTCCCTGTGCATTCCATCTGTGTTACATACAGGTGATCCGTGAGAACCGTCAGGAACTCGAGGCCATGTCGCCCCCGAACGGCCCCGTGCTGCCCTATGGCATGCCCCCGCCGCAGCACCAGGCCAACCCCTTCGTGACGTCCTTCTATGCCAGCCAGGGTGGCAGCGAGGCACACAGACATCGCCGCGGACGGCAGAAGGGCAGCGGGAGCACCACCACTCCCGTGCAGCCTCCACAGGAACCTGAGCTGCTGGTGAGAGCGAAAATACCGAGGCGAGGGGATGTGGCAAGAGTGTGTATGTGTTGTATGTGCAGGAGAGTCTGTTGGCCACGTTGGATTCGGCGATTGGTGTGTTGAACTTGTGCGACATCTTCGATGCGCCCCGGCTGGCAGACGTGGACCGGGTTCTCACCCCAGCCACGTTCAACCGGCTCGCAGACACCACATTCAAAGACATGTACGAGCGCACACCAACCGCACCCCAGACTCTCACACGCCCAAACACCCCCCTGTGTGTGTGTATGTGTTCAGGATCATGCCGTCAATGCGCCCGCCGCCCCCCGCTCCCCAGGCGGCCCCCACGCAAGCACCGTATCCATACCCGGCTGGGGGCCAGACAGGAGGCGGCCCAGACAAGAAACGGCAGGCGACTGCAGATACCGAAGGCAGGAGGGCGGATGGCCGTCGGGGTGGTGTGGATGGCAGGGCGCGTGAAGGAGGTGCGGGTCCTGTGGGTGTGGTTGGTGAGGGCGTAGCGGACCTGCTGCAGCAGCTGGTGCTGGAGCGGGTCGTCGACCAGAACGAGCTCAGGAACAGATGCCCGACGCTCTACACGTACGTACCCAGCCGTGCACTCATGTCCACTCACAAATCGTTCGTTGCATATCTCTGTCGTCTTTTCTGTATGTCTGTCTTTCTGCCTGCAGTCAGCTGGATGCCGACGTGCAGGAGGTCTACCTCTGTCTGGCAGCGGCCAAGGAGCACTTCGCTCGGTGGGAGAGGGACGGCCGGCCCTCGGGCGACATCAGCAAGATGGGCAGCCTGCGGCAGTGGGCCCGAGAGGTCAATCAGGCAGAGAATGTCATCGAGAAACACCTACCCAACCCCGAGATCGACATCAAGACACTCCTGCGCAAAGCGGAGGCCGCAAAGGCTGTCAGGTGAGGGAGAGAGAGAGAGAGAGAGAGAGTGTGACACCGATGAGCACACAACAGAGAGGCTGAGTGCAAGGATGTGTGCGTGTTTGTGTCCTCCCACAGGTTGTTTATCACGATGGCGTGCGAACGGGCCAAGGCGCTGGATCAGCACGGCGTCACGGCGAGGCCTTCGCCCCCGTCCGCACCCATCGACCAAGGAGTCGAACAGATCTACAAAGCAAAGTGAGCCACCATTAACACCACGTCCACAGCCGCCCGTACGCTTTTCTGTCCCCATCCACGCAGGGAGTACTGCTACAGCGCCATTCTCTCCCTCTTGGAGGAACGCATCCTCGTCCCGGGTGACCGCTGCGTCTACTACCCCGACGAGCTGATGATCGACTTCGGCGCCAAACCGGAAGGCAAACCTCTCCGCATGACGGCATCGGTGGCCGACCGGCCTGCTGCTGCCGCTACTGATGCTGCTGGTGGGGGAAAACGGAAATATGAGCCCACAGGTGAGACAAGAGAATTTCGGAGGGAGGCCGGTCAAGACTCTTGGACGGCGGTCACTGTGTGCGGTGTGTGTGTGTGTGTGTGCTCGTGGACGTAGGCGTGTCAGTGTCTGAGAAGGAGCGTGTTGGCTGTGTGGATCGGTGCCGCCACATAGTGCAGTACTGCCTGCGCGAGTCGGCCGACCGGCAGCTGCACGTGATGCTTTTCAAGTGGATCATCAAACACCAGCAATACGGTGGGTTCCATCAATCGAGAAACGGGCCTCTTCCTCCCGCCCATCTCTGTGTGCACTTGTGTGTGTGCAGACCTGCATCTTCATGAGTTCGATTCCCCCTACCTGGCTCAGTGGCTGCTGGGCTTGATGGAGATGAAGGCCCACACCGACCAACTCCGGCAGCGGGGGACGCCTGTCGCCACTACTGCTGCACTTGTGGACAGCGAGGCGCTGCTCAAGAGCATCCCGCCCGACGAGCTCGCCAAGTACTACAGCCGCATCGGACTCTTTGCAGAGGTACATATGCGGCTGGAGATCACAGACCAACACAAGTGCTCGGGCTCATGCGTTTGTATTGGTTGTGGCTCACCCACCCAAACAGGCGTGCGCGTGTTACATGCACCTGGCCATCGCCCCGTGGCCCACACGCAGCATCGACCCCTCCTTCCTCGCCGCCGAAGCAGGCGACTCGTCGCCGCCACATCGCGTCAACCCCAGCGAGTGGAACATCCCCGCCCCACATATCGACAGCAGCACCACCGTCGACCAGCTTCTCGAAAGTGCCGATGCAGCCCACTTCCCGTCACTTGCCGATCGCTGCAAGTTTGCGGCGGCGGCCAGCAGCTACTGGGAGAAGGCCAGAGAGCAGGACCAGGCCGGCCGCGCAGGCGTGAGCATGGCGACGGGCGCTGTGGGTGGTGGTGTGGGAGGCGGCGGCCTGACTGGGCAGGTGCCGCGTGTGGGATCGTCACCTTTGCTGCGCCGGTGGGAGCGCGACAACTGCCAGATGGCCTACAAGACGGTCAGTAGAGGCGGATGGATGCACTGCTGAGGCGTATGGCTTGGACTCTCGTGTTGTTGTGTGCAGGTGATGCTGCAGAGCACGATGCTGGCGGAGATAAAGGAGAGTCTCCGGGAGCTCCTCTACGACGCTAAGACGCATCTCAACAGTGACGGCACAATGGTAAGCCACAACCCCCTCCCCTCCCCGCCCCTCTCCTCCACCTTCACCATCTCTCTCTCTCCCCGTGTGTGTGACATTCCTTCCTGCAGGCGTCCAGCAGCCATCGCACGGACATCCACCGCACCCTGCTCGGTGCCCACGCCGTGCAGCAGTCTCTGTGGAACGCCGCGCACCTGCACCTGCTGGCGTGGAACCTCGAACTCTACTGGACTTTGCTGCAGCTGCTGCTGCGCATGCAGCAGTGGCCAGACGACGGCCAGGAGCGGATCGCATTCCTCGTCCGGGTGAGCTCAGCTCAGCTGAAAGGGAGGGGTGATGTATGTATGTGTCGGGCTGAACGGCTGGCTTTCCTCCGTCGCTGTGTGTGTGGATGGTACGGTCAGCATCTGATGGATCAGGCCATTCGTCGGGCGCGGAAGTCGGGCAACGACCAGAATGTCGTCATCGAGCTCGTAAGCACGGACAGACAAGCGACAACTCATGCCAGCCGTCCATCCATCCATCCATTCATCCATCTGTTGTTCATCAACCGGTGAGGTGGAGCGTTTGTGTTCCAGCTTCTCGCCCACAGCCGACTCTGGTACAACCAGCCAGCGCATGTGGCAGGCGGCGCTGCCAATCGTCGTGCTCAAGCTGACGGACTTCGCCTACTCGATGCGTGCGAGCGTCGGGGGGCCGTATTGGTGGGAGTGGCCGATCCGTGTGCTGTGGGGGCCACAGGCTGACCAGTCGGTCAACGAGCTGTGCGCTGAGGGGCTGCCGACCTTCCGATTCTCCCATCTGACCATCTGCCATGCACTCAGAAATGTACGTGGGCAAAAGAAAAACAGGAGACGGATGTATCTGTGTTTGTGGATGGATGGATGGATGGACGGCTGGCTGCAGGACATGGTGCGGGGCGAGATCAGGAAGCTGACCAGCCCTGACGGCAGGACGGCCTACGACTTCCCGTCCCTCCTTCGCTACCACCTCGTCAAGCACCTCCTAGACATCATCACCAAGGCACTCGATCGGAGCCGCGTGCTGGCCGTCCACCACCGCCCGGGCGACACCCAGCGGTTCCTTAATGACATCAACGCGGCGCACACGGAGATAAAGGACCTGTGCGACAGCCACCATTCCGTCATCGACGACCAGGCACTGACGGCGCTACTGCGGCAGGTGGGCGAGCTGGCGGGGGATGTCAACCGTGGCCGAGGAAAACGTCGTGGAGCGGACTGTGTGGATAGCCCTGACGCACCGCGCCCATCCAAGCGCATGCGGATGGGCTGTGAATAGACAGCCGATCGTATTGTATTGCCGATTTGTACGTCGTGTGTAGCGAGGGTCGGTTGGATTAGGATGGGATGGGGGTCTCGTGGCCATCTTGTATGTGCATCCATCGTGTGTGTATTGTGTGCATGGTACATGCTGTCCGCACATCGATGAACAGAGACTGCCGCAGTGCATTTTCACGACAGACGGACGCATCACTCACTCACACGCACCCACCCCATGGCATGAGACGGGAGTAAGTGCATGGCCATCCATCCATCCATCCATCAGTATGCAGGCAGGGTGTGCGTCGGTGCGCCCATACGTACAGGCCAGCCACAGCTACACCGCCACGCCCATCACACCCATCATCACTCACCACCCCCCAGCCAATCGCGGGCTTTTTCTTTCACCTCTCTCTTTTCTTTCCCTTCCTTTAGACGCCTCTCTGTTCTGTTTCTGTAGAGGCCTGTCTGTCTGGTTTTTCTTTCCTTTCATCCCGACTGCTCCCTGTAGCCGTCCGTCTTTCTTCTCGTATGTCTTTGCTTTCGTGTGGTCCTGGGAGGCCGCGGTTTTTCTTTCTCTCCAGTGCTTTCTGTGTGTGCGCAACACACACCTTTTGTTTCTCTTCGTGCGGTTCTTGGTTTTTCTTTCTCGCCTGTGTTTTTTTCTCTCCGGTTCTGTGGTAGCCGTATTGTATTGTTTTGTTTTGTTTTCCTTTGAGGAGAGGAGCCGCGCATGAATCGAACCAGACGTGGTGAGTGTGATGGCGTTGGGGTGGGTGAGGCGGCAGGGACGTGGATGGGGCTGTCGTGTGCCAAGCACAGCACACACGGATGGTGACGAGAGAGATGGATGGATGGATGGATAAATGGATCGATGTGTGAGACCACCACAGCAGCAGACAGACAGACAGACGTACTCACTCCCTTCGGACGGACACTCCTTACTTGGTGAAATGGCCACATACATACATTACATTCATCAGTCACTCCCCACCCACACCATGACGTATCATCATGACACACACACATACCCACCCCACACGTGAGTACCGTGTGTGTATATTGGACGTGAGTAAACAGCTGACCTGACAGACAGACAGACAGACAGACAGAGAGCACAGCACTTACCTGTAGACATGAGTAAGTGAGACTGGCACTCGTACGCCAGGTAGCGTCATCGCATCGCTTTGAGCCTGGCCGCCTCGCGGGCGCGCCATGGCGATCGCTTTTCGATTCGCAACACATAGTCGCTGTTGCTCTCGCTTTCCAGGCAGGCAGGCAGGCAGGCAGGCAGCCTGGTCTGTGTGTGTGTTTGTGGCCATCTGATCTGTGTATTTGCTCCTTCATCTTTGTCAGCTGCCGCTGCCAGCACTGAGCATACTGGCCACACACGTGACGTAGCCAAGGCGACTTGCATTCCGTGTCCTTCGACAGCCCCTCACTCTATCCTGACTCGACTTGACTGACTGAGCACATCTGAACTGACGGAGAGAAGCTTGTGTATTTGCCGTACTTGCCTCACCACACGACCATGCACGAGACGTGGGGCACTTCAGCCACGCGCCCTCCAATAGTATCCAATAGTAGCCATGTTGATTGACGTGTGTGTTCCAAGTGCCGACGAAAACGCATGGGTAATCAGTCGCCGGTGCGTTCATTGGTGCCTGCCGGTGTGTGGACTACACTCCACACACCATCGCGCTGTCGAGATTTACAAGACTGGAGACGGGGGGGCGTAATATTTTTTTGAAGCACAGCGCAAGACAGGAAGGAAGCAGGCCGCAGCCTTTCTCTGTGCCTTCTCTTCTGTTCGATCTCGAATTCTCTGTTGCTGGTGCCGTCCAGGATGTCGATGAAGAGCCTCGTGGCACGGTAACGAAGCGGAGCGACCCTTTCGCCCGCCAGAAGACCGGGCATTGGTTTTGAGTACCGATGGACGAGCCCTCTCAACCACCAGATCCGGCGCCAGGCGACACTGGCGGCTTTGTCATGGGTTTTGTCGAAAGAGGGAGATAATCGATGCTCGTGTGTGTCTGTTGTGTGCTGATGGCAGGAATGACAGCACCAGATCCTCATGGCTGCTCGTGCCCGATGTCGACATCAAGGCACTCTTGAAGAAAGCGGAGGCTGCCAAGACTGTCAGGTGAGGGACAGGGAGAGAGAGAGGGAGAGGGAGAGAGAGATGGGGAGAGGGAGACGTTGTCTGACACACAGCACCGAGAGGCTGGGCGAGATAAAGTGTGTGTGTGTATACTGTCTGTGTGTCCGGAAGGCTGTTCATCACGATGGCGTGTGAGCGGGCCAAGGCGCTGGATCCGCATGGCCTCACGGCGAGGCCGCCACCCCCGTCCGCACCCAACGACCCACAAGTCGAGCAGATATTCAGAGCCAAGTGAGCGACCAAACCACCACCCCCAGACACAAACAGCCATACGCATGTATGTATCTATGTATGTTTGCGTCTGATACACGCAGGGAGGAGTGTTATGGTTCGATTCTCTCCCTGATGGAGCAGCGCATCCTCGTCCCGGGCGACCGATGCATTCGCTGCCCCAACGAACTCATGATCGACTTCGGCGCCAAACCGACCCCAAACGCCCACAAGACGCCGCCTGTCCGCGAGCAGCCTGCTGCTGCTGCTGCTACTGATGCGGGCGGCTGGGGAACCTTCCTGTCCGGACGGGGCAAGCGAAAACACGACGCAAAAGGCAAGGGAGAGGGGAAAGAGAGGGCGAAAAGGGTGCAGGGGTGGTGTTTTTGTGCTGTTTATATTTGTTCAGATATATCTGAGGAGACCGTGTTGGGTGTGTGATCGGACCCGCCACATGGTACAGTGCTGCCTGCACGTAATGCTCTTCAAGTGGATCGTCAAACGCCAGCGAAACGGTAGGTGCCATCAACCGAGAAAGGCCCCTTTGCCTCCCTCACAAGACGGCACCGGTGCCAGACGAGCCTGCTGCTGCAGATGATGGCTGGTGGAGGGAGGAAACGGAAACATGAGGCCACAGGTGACACGAGAGACCGGTCAATGTGTATCTGGTGTATGTGTCTGTGTGTGCGCGCGTATTCTCATGTATGTGCGCAGAATCGCCAAGAAGATGCTGTTGTGCCTCCCATGCCGGCCAAGCTGGCAGCCGATGGTGGTGCAGCGTCGAGGAAACAAGATTGTCATTGTCAATCGCTGCTTACATTTTATATTCGCTGGCTCTTCGATTAATGCAAAACGCATCGCTCCACTTGAACAGTAAGCGAGACGCACTCAATAAGTGCGGTCCATAAAGAGTGGAGTTACGCCTCCTTGACTTGGAGTCTTCGATATCACTTTGGCAGGGTGCGTACAATGCTGCTGCGGGTGGAGACATGGAGGACATCAGCACATATGTACAGAATGGGCGGCTTCCATCCTGCCCGCCCTGGGTGAGCAGCAGCAGCAAACATCCAAAGACATCCTTCTTGCCTGCGTTGTTGCGGCAGGGACCGGCTGGCTAACGGCAACTACACACTCATGCACCAGATTGGCCATGACGAGAGGTGCACCATGTGGCTTGCACAAGAAATGAGAAAGATACAAGGGGAAAACAAGGGCAGGGGGATCCCGTGTGTGTCTGTGTCTGTGCAGCCCAAGGGGCTTGTGAGGTTCAGCTTTGTTAAGATGGCAGTTGAGTGCTGGTTTGAGAAGCTCCAGCAGCTTAGCAAGGCCCACCGCATTCTCGGCCTGAGGAGGGGGGCGACGAGTGGGTCCGTGATAAAGCGTTATCGCCTCCTCGCTCTCAAGTACCACTCCGACAAGACCAAGGGCAGCGACGAGCGCATGAAGGACCTCAACGAGGCGAAGGCCCTGATGCTGGAGATAGCGGAGGAGGGCCCGGCGCGTGCCGAGGACAGCCCGTGTGATGGCAATCCGTTTGCCTGCCGCAAGGAGTGGAGGGCAGCTGTGTTACCTCTGCCAGGCCAAACGGGAGGTAAGCTGGGAGGGATGCCGAGGGCACATGCATCTTCCGTGATAATGAAACCGAGTCTGTTTGATGTGTGCAGGCGTTGATACGCGAGTCGTCCAGGGAGGCGGCGGAGTGGGAGTTCAACACCATGTCCGACACCATCTACTTCTCAGAGGTCGACGAGCCCACCCTCCCCGCCCCCAATGCCGCCAAGGCGGGCAACTTCGACAACCACCCAAGCCCTGCCCACACCAAGCCGACGGACACCAAGCCGCCCCGCACCAGGACCACCAGCAGCAAGAGCAGCGGCAGCACCACCAGCCGCTCGCACCCCACGGCAGGCAGCAGCCGCACCAGTGCAGCAGCAGACGCTGCCCGTGCCCGCTGCGGGAGGCCTGGGCGGGTGTGAGGGGCATGTGGAAGGGAATGGCCAAGATAGTCGAGAGCTGCAGCTGCACCACGCCAACGCACATCAACTGAGGCCTACCTGCCGTGAGGATGGCATTGGGGGATGGATAGATGGATGGATGGATGGATGGATCGATGGATGGATGGATGGATAGGAGGGAGGGAGGGAGGGAGGGAGGTGCTGTGAGAGTCCCGATGAGCTCACCCACTAGGGACGGGCGTGGGAGGGGGTGGTGGCCATCTGCAGTTGCCATTACCCCGCAAATCTCTGCCTACATTTTATATTTGCTGAGATGGTGGATATGTGCATCGGTTTGGCCAGTTTCGGGCTGAAAAGAGTGACGTGCTCTTGCCTGGTGCAACGATTGGGAAGATCGATGGGGCCCCAAGTTGTGTAACAATTCGCTGACACTTCGATTCAGTGTGTCATGGGATGGTCCTAACACCCATCCCTCATGCATCCGTCCATGCGTCCGTCTCGGCTCACTCACCCACCCACTCACTCAAGCCTTTTCCCCCATGGGTGACCTCACAATGCAGTATCGGCCGTCTGAGGCCGGTGCGCTCTTGACTTCCTCCGGGCCGCACTGCTGCTGTGCCTCATCGGCAGACACGCACTCGCCCGTCTGCTGAGGCACGCGCAGGGCACACACTTTGGGGGTCTTGCAGTCGTAGAGAATCCCCCAAGATGCGAGTTGACACTTTTCACCTGCAGACTGCGCACATGAGACACCCAATGGCACAGACAACGTCGGTCTCTCTTTCTGCCACACGTGTACCCTGCTGTGCGCCGTTGTTCCTGTCAATGGCTCTGGCCATGTGTCCGTGTCGGGCGATGGCATTCAAATTGTTGCGGCGATGGCGGAGAGGGTCGGAGGGATTCGCTGACAGCCCGGGTGCCGCCCAAGCAACGAAGAGGGAGAATGCGATAAGGCGCTGCATGCCGAGGGGAATCATCATCCTTGCAGCCGTAGGGAGGGGCGAACGGCCTGGGGGCGTCGGGGGAGACGGCGGCCCGCAATGAACCGTGGTCGCCGGCCAGGTTCATCACTTCACTGGTTTAAGGGTTGCTGAGTCGGTGTGGATGTTCATGCGTGGACACACGTCCGTGCACACGCCTGGACGCATTCCACCCATCCAGAGAGAATTTCTCCATGCTCTACCGCATTTCGATCGCATATCGCACATATGTGCTAACAATCAATAGATATCTCTGTTCTATCAGTCTGCCCCTCTCTCATCACTTTCAGCCGTCTGTCATCTCCTGGCTGCGTCCGTCGCCCCGACCCGGCTTCCCTTGCCACCCTGCGGGCGGCCGGCGGGGCCGGATGACAGACAGCCGCATGGTGTCGGTCGGGAATGGCGAGGCGGTATCGGGTCAGAAAAACCTGAGGCGAAATCATCAGCAAAAGAAGCTGTGCACGCACACACACTCACACACAAGCGCGTCAGGTGTTTGCCTGCCTGTCTCATCTTCCCTTCTTACCCGGGCGTCTCCTTAACAGCCCAGCAACGAACGGCCTGACTGCGACAGCCGCGTCGCCGCCCGCCCTCAGGCTCATCATAGGCACACAAGTGTGAAGCCCAGTGGTCGGTCGGCCGATGAATGAATGGCATAAAGGGGGGTGGGCAGCTCGGCCTCGTGTAGAGAGAGTATCCACCTGGCTGGCTGCATTGTGGCCAGGCGGGCAGGCAGCCACACAGCACAATCACAGCTACACGCATACATCCACCGGCAAAATAAAGAAAGAAAGATCGTCAAGGAAAGGACACACAGCTGTGTGTGAGCATTTGTGCAGTGCAGCACCTGGCTGCATTTGTGTGGCCAAGCGGGTGGCAGGCAGGCAGCCATGTGCGTGTTTGTCAGTCAGGGCTGTCCTTGTACGACCAGGTCGCCGTGGTGGGCCAGGAGTGGCTGGTGGTCCTCTGTGGGTGCCCGTTGCTCGACCTTCTGCCCCCTGAGGTTGCGGCGCAGCCACTTGACCCACGAGGGGGCGTTCTCTCTCCTCCACACCTCCTCCTGCTCAGGCGTCCACAGCGGACCTGCACACACACACGCACACGCGGGGAAGAGAGAAGGCTCTTGACTGTCGACGTCTGTCTGCCTGTCTGTCTGTCCCGAAGAGCACTGACCGAGCCAGAGTGCCACACTTTCATAAGAAAACAAGTGCAAAGGATCCACAACCTGCCCATAGGGACTGACAAACCGCACGACTCCAGCCCATGCGGCCCGAACTTCTCCCGTACGACGACCATCGTGTCCTCCACACTGGCCCGTAGTGGAAAGCGGCACACCTCTGCGTGGCCCTTGTAGTGCACCAGGACGTGGTCGCCCCCGCGGTTGTTACACCTGGGAGATGGCTTCTTGGGATAAGCAGGCCCCTTCCACGCAGGGCAAGACGATGGGCAACCGGCGACGTCGAACACGTCACGCCATCCCAGAATAGGAAGGGGCCTCCACATTGGCAGTTAACTCAGCCCTCCACAGTTGACAATCTTGTCCACGCTGACACTCGAAGGAATGAGCTTCGCAGAGGACCGGGACTCTTAAGGAAGCGGCAGTAGGAGAGCAATGAATCAGTCGCTTGCCGAGAGATCTTGATCTTGGTCAGAAGAGCCTCTCCCATGGGTCGTGAGGCCTCGTTGAGGACGCTTGACGGAGGAGCATCGCGTCCGGAATTCCGATCGGCATCTGCGCGCTTGGCTCGCAGCGGTCAAGCCCAGAGCAACAAATACGACAGCAGAGGCCGGCAGGTGACTGACACCCACACAAAGAGAGAGAAAGATCCATGGCAAGGATGGCGGGTGTCGTGACGCCCGTGATGGGCAAGTCGTACAATAAGGACGGCAGCCACTGGCAGCAGGTGCGTGCCCACACACACACACAGACAGACCGACACACTTGCCGGTATCCCCTGTTGCATTCACTCACTGATTCTGTGATTTGCTGTGCTGTGGGCTGCAGGCTGCGGCGCGTCTGTGGCATTCGGTGGTGTCCGAGGGGCTGATCAAGACGCTCAAGGGAGAGCGGCAGAGAGGCAACAACCTTGGCCCCGTGTGGGCCCTCGACTGCGGGTATGTATTGGCACAGCACACATGTGTGAGCGGCTGACGTCACATCGACTCGTCTTTCGCTTTCGTGTGTTGATGGATTGCTTTGACGTGCAGGTGTGGTCACGGCAAGGCGTCCGATGGAATGATGGCGGCCGTGCACAAGGCCATGCAAGAGCACCGACATGAAATCGGCGGCCATCGGTGTCTGTGTGTCATCCACAACGACCTGCCATCCAACCACTGGGCAGAGCTCTTCAACACGGTCAATGCGCCGGCGGGCTACGCCGCTGGGGGCCCGCCGACAGCCATGGCCTTTGCGTCCGGGAAGACAATGGTGAGGAACGGGGAGGGGCAAGCAACACGGGCGGCATTCATCGACTGTGTGTGTGTGTTGTGTGTAGTACGAGCGTCAGGCGCCCGACGAGAGTCTTCACTTGGTGGTCGCCTTCAACTCGATCCACTGGTATGTACTTATGTGTGCCACTGCAGTACATGACCCCCACATGTATCATCTGAGGGCACCTGCCCACTCGTCCATCCACGTCTGTTCCGGTTGTGACGCCCGTGTAGGATGGACCATCAGCCGAGGCCCCTGTCCGATGGGCTGGTCTTCCAGTGTTCCACAGACAAAGAGGCCACACAAGCGTGGCTGCAGGTACGTGTGTGTCCCCATCACACACACACGGTGTCCGTCTGTCAAATCTCTCTGTCTGTGGTGGTGTCTGGTGTGGTATTGTTAGGTCAAGCAGCGGGAGTTGGAGACGTTTCTGCGCCTCCGCAGTGCCGAGCTCGTCCCGGGCGGCCGCATCGTCGTGTCATGGGTGGAAACAAAGGAAGGGGGCGGCGTGTTCAAGGCCGTCCACAACGTCGTGAACGTCATGGCTGATGAGGGCTGGTAGACCCCCATATCACACACACGCACACAGTGAATGCTGTTGCTGTGTCAGGGTGTCTCGCGAGACGGCGAGCAAGGCGTCCCTGCCTTTTGTCTTCCTCCCCATGTCCACACTGCTGCAGCCGTGGGAGGGCGTCGACGGCCGGCCCACGACGAGTGCCCACTGCCCTGTCCCGCCACACACACGGAGCTGCCGCTGCAGCTGGAGGCCATCTGGACGGCAGACAACGAGGTCTTCCTGCATGCCTACAACACGAGGGTCGCCTCCGGCCAGTGCGACGAGGGTAAAGCCACCGAGATGTTCTTCGACGACGTGAGCAAACAGACACTGACACACAGACCTGATGGATGGCGTGTGTGAGCTGTTTGAATGTGTGCAGCTCATGTTGTCGGCCCGCGGCTGGGCGGAGGGCATGGTCACCTCCTTCATGGCTGACGACTGCAAAAGAGCGGCAGCGTCGGGCGGCCTCGAAGGTCACAATCCCGCTGATGCAGCTGATGCCGTTGCGGCCGGGGTCAAGCAGTTCTACGTGACACTGAGGGGGGAGTTGGTGCGGTCGTACGGCAACCGGCCGGGCCCCCTGGGCATCAAGTCGCATGTGTTCGTCATCAGGAAGATCTGACGGGTGGATGCCGAGGCCAAGAAAGCCTACCACCGGCGTGTGTGCGAGGACAGACAAGTCCATCCACTCACCCCTTTATGCGTGACGGTGGATGGTGTGTGGGGCAGAGAGGCCAACGATTTTTTCAGCCTTCAGCCGCATTGGGCAGCCGCCTGCCCAATGGTTTTTTTCGGCCAATGGTGTGTGGTGCGCACCAAGGCTGCGTGGGCAGACAAGTCGTAAAGCCAGGTGATGCGGTGGGTTCGTAGTGCGAGTGTGTGTGTGCGTGGTGGGCGGCGCCGATGGTAGATACGCCGGCCCGGCGGGCGGTGAGGATGGTGCTGGCATGTTTGTCGCGTGATTGAGGGAGGGTTGGTCGATTGACGCAGGTCATTTCATGAGAGACAGACCGACTCTGCCTGCCGTTGCGCTGTGAGTCAATGTCTTCTCCCCCCAATGGATGGGTGGATAGCCGAGGGGAGGGAGGCGTGAGTCCATGTGTATTCAGGGGCGTGAGTCGACTCACTGCATGGTGCACTCACATGTCCATTTATTAATTTGCGCGTAGAGAGGGACCATTCCTGAGTGAGTGTTAACAGTAAGGCTGGCGTGGTTTGTCCATTCACCCGACATATAGGGCATAGATATCAACAGTCTCTCGCAATCACGTCCGCATACACCCTCCCCACCCACCCACCCAACCCAACACCCAACCGCATCCGCTTACCAAACTGTCTGTCTGTCGGTCTCAGCGCACATCGGCTGAGTGAGTACACACACACGTCAACACACGTCCGATGGGAAAAAGACAGCCACACACCCCCACACACACACCTCCACGGGTAACACACGCACATACACACAGGCACGCACCAGCCAGCCACCCACACTAAACACACACACGCACACAAACACGCATTGGACTGGACCGACCGCTGTGCTGCCTGCCCAACAGGGGCATCAAAAACCGCCACACGTAGCATGTGATGTGCTCTGCACTCACACGCAATGCACGCCCACACAGACAAGAAAACCAAAAAAGCCCGCCCATAGTTGTGGGAGTCTTGAAGAGCAGGCACACGCACACGCACACGCACACGCCCACGCACGCATTTACCCCCCTACACACGAATAATGAACCGACCCGACCCACGCTTCGCGTGACACACACACCACTCACACACGCACTCAGCCATCCATCCATCCACACGCGCACATGTGCCAAGACATCAACGCCGCTACACACAGACTACTTCTGCCCGCCCTCCAGCTCCAGTAGAGCGTCGCGTATGTTGTGTGCCAGGGCCTTGACGTGCGGCTCTACGATGAAGGTGTAGTGAGACCCCGCACACTGCCGCACGTCCACCTTGTCGGCGTCCATGATGGCGAACAGCTCCACCCACACCAGCTGAGGGTCGGGCGCGTGCAGGTGCTTCTCCATCCTGTTAGTTACACGTCCACACACACAGTCCATCCATCCATCTGTTCGTTTATGCGTCTGTCACTCTCGCTTTCTCTCTCTCTGTGTGTGTGTATGTGTGTGTGTGTGTGTGTGTGTGTGCGTACGCTCTGAAGCATGTGACGGTTCCTGGGAATCTCGGTGGCTTGTAGGAGTAGGTGGCGCGGAGGGTGCCCACAAGCACCTCCAGGATCCGCCTGTTCTCGCTCTGCTCGACGTCCGCCGGGAAAATGCCCACCTATTCCACAACACACACACACACACACACAGACGTGTGTCCAATTGTGTGTTCTCCTCACACACGCGTCTGTGTGTGTGTTTGCCTACCTGTCTGGCTTTGTCAATGATATAGTCGATCTGGGCGCCGTGGCCGCCCTCAACCGATGCCAGCTCCTCGTCAGTCACCAAATTGTCCTGAGTGTGTGACCGTAGACACACGTGTGGCTGTGCAAAATGCGTCCAAATGCGTGTGTGGCATACCTGTCCGAACATGCCGCCGAAGACTCGGGAGCAGACGCCGACCAGATACTGATCGGTGATCTCCTGCACACACACACACCGCTGATATTTGGACGGGTTTGGTGTGTGTGTGTGTCAAGATGGTGAGTATCCACCTTTGCCTTGTCGAGGATGATGGGGCGCCACGAGTCGAGAACCGCTGCACCCATGGGACATGGACACATGGGTCCGTGTGTGTGGGGGCC